CACTCTGTCTCTGGTGAATCCTCTCACCCTCCACATCTCTGGCCTGTATTCCAGTTCTATATGAATAAATAAATAAATCTTAAAAAAAAAAAAAAAAGGTATGCTGCTTTTTTACCTTATTCTCATCTGTTCTAAATTGGTGAAATTTCCATTTTTACACTCATTTTTATAAGCCAGGAGCAAAAGGAAATGGTAGCAGTAGCTGCTGGATAACCAGTAGTGCGATGCAGCTGGAATTATACTAATGGCTGGAAGGCAGCCAGTCACACACAAGCCGCAACTAAAATGTTCAAAAGCAATGAACATTTACCTCACTGAAGTCTGAAAGTCCATGAAAAGCAATGCGATGTCACTGTATAATGTAGAGAAGTGAAGGCAGTCCAAAAGTTAAAAATACTCACATCATGTAGCACCTGAATTAAGAGAGTACTGGGAGAAGCAAATGTAATTTTCTACCTCTGCTTTAAATTCATTTTCTAGAACCAATGGTAATTCTAGCTCCCAACACAAACCAAAGACCTTTTAATTATGAGGTCAAATGAGATTGAATGTATAAAAAGTGCTTCCTAAACAGTCATATCAGCTTTAATTATTCCCAAATTTAATGAGAGGAAAAATACTTTCTCAATGACAATTCGGTCAATTGTTGTATAACTTGAATGCATCTGTTCCCTCCCCTTTACCTGCTCACTCTCTTCAAGCTCCTTTCTAGAAAATGCTTTATGTGTCTAACTGGGAGTGGGGGCTGGAGTTGAATCACTCTCTTGCAGTTTTGGGCCCCATTTTGCTTGATGGGATGACAACCCAATTAGCTCTCCAGCACCAAGGCGGGAGACTAAGGAGATCAAGAGAAGATGACCGAAACTGACATGGAGGGGGCAACCAACAAGAAACAGGAGTCAAGAAAAAAATAACCACAAAATATATTTGAAGACAGACTTCTCCAGTTGGCATTTTGAATGAAATCGCTAACAATGAACTTGAGCCCCTCTTTGTTGTTTCCTTTGTTTCTGGAGTCCTCTTGCTTCTTAAATTCTGCAAATTCGGGCAGCAGCACCAGGCATTAAATCCCCAGGGGGAGAGGTATTAGTAAACCTTTTGCTGGTCATTCTTTTCTGAATGCAAGTGGACAAATTCTTAACCCCTCTTACTCATTTCATGACGATCATCAGAAGAAAAAAATTAAGTCAAACTTGCTTATTGAAAATAAAAACAAAACACACAAAAAAAAACCTGCAGATAATAAATATCACTGATTCACTTATTTTAAACAAAGTCCAATTTTATTCACTCTTAGTATCCTTGCAGTCCATTGTATATCTTCTGCACTGACCCTTGTTTCAGAAGCTGTTTGACACCTGAAGAGAATGAACAAATGACTCCATTAACAAAAATGTGACTTCCCAAGAATTAAAAAACATGTTTTACAGGGAGGTTCACAAAAGTCTTTATGCCAACTGTGGATCTAAATTAAATAACCACCAATGCCCAACTTCACGGTATGTGACAACCCCACACACGTGTGTGTATCCTCCTCTCTCTCTCTCCCTCTCTTGTACACATGTATTCACATCCCACAAAGTTCTACCCAATTAGAAATGACAAGAAACAATCGAAAGTTTTCTTCCATTCCTTCTTTTTTAGTTCTAATCTCTACCACTGTTCTCCTTTTTGTTAAGAGCCAACCAATTAGGCTCTCTTCTCAACCAGATCACAGATAGCACTCCAAAGCCTCTCATCCTTCTAATGCATCTCTCATCTTTCACAGTCTGACCCAACTAATTTAATTGATCCAACTAATTTAACTGATTCTGTTCCATACTCACACACTTACACACACCTGTACTCCCTAAGTTTCAAAGCCTGGCTTCCACCACCTTTTGTTACACAGCGACAGGGGTTTTAATGCTACTCATATACAGGGAGAAAGGCAAGTTCGTTCCTAGTCCTGTGTTAGCGGTTGATATCCGGAGTCACTCGAGAGCTTTGTTCCTGTTGCCTGGCCTCTAGAACCAGCCCGTCTCATGTGCATAGACACAGACGCACCCACTCGTGTACCCCTCACCTTCTCTTGCTTCCTCTGTTAGTTGTTCTTTTGGAAAATCCACATCAAAAGTGATTATCAATGAGCCCTTGATGTTGTTATTGTCAAAGTTGGGGAGCCCTTCCCCTTTCTTCCATAGCTTGGCTCCTGGTCTGGTGATCTTATCCCGGGAAATATGGACCTGGGAAGCAGAAGGGAACGGACTGGAGCAGGAATGGTATCCCAACGTATGTCACACAGTGTCCAGCAGGCACTGGTGCCGAGGTTTATGCCATAGCTCAGCACAAAAGCAGGGGTGGAAAGGCAAGGGAAACATCACTAGCATAATGTGAGCCAAAGAAAGAAAAGGTTTTCAAGAGAAAAAAGAATCAAATACAGAAACAAGTGGAAAAAAGCTAAGCTTTGGCCAATGGGCACCGTAAAAATCAGAGTGCCACAAGCTATGCAATGAACCTCAAGAGAAAGGAGTCAGACTAAAGATTGAGACATGAGTCCTCACAGTTCTAAGTTATCCAAGGGGCTGAAATGATCTCAAAACAGCTGACATGAAGGTCTTCAAAGGTGAGGAAACAGGAAAGTCAGTTTGCTTACCTTGTGACCATCCAAGTGAGCGATATCCATATCAAAGCCCACCAGAGACTCAACCAGTGAGATTGTCACATTTGTGTACAAATCATCTCCTCTCCTTTCAAATATCGGGTGCCTGAAAGCAGAACAATGTACAATTCATCAATTTCCATCTTTGGGGGAGAAGATTTTAGGAAAATCTTAAAAAAGAATGAAAATCATTCTTTCAAACAAAAGATACTCATTGGTGTAATTTTAATCAAGACTCTAAGGTTATGTAAGATTTATTGAGCCTAATTCTTAAGGAGTTTACAACAGGAGAAACCCAAACACGTTAGATTATAGGAAAGAGAGAAAGGGCCAGGGGAAGAGTGGCTTTGGAGAGGTCTCCTGACCTGGGCTTTTTAGGCACCCCAGTACTAGAGGTGCAAACATAGTGGTCACAGAGGAGCATGGGTTGGGCTGAAAGAGAATTTAAGCAAAGACAAGGACTTGAGAAGGCACCAAGCCCACTGAAGGAACAACCCATGAGCCAATCGGAACCCATTTCTCCACATTTAAGCAGGAACGTTGTTTCAGTGGCTCCTTAGAAGCAGAGCTATCACCGCTTCCCAAAATTGTAACAAGAGCAAAATAATAAACAAGAAAGTCTGAGTTCCAGGCAAAATTCTTATCTAAGCAGCACTTCATGCTGAAGAGACGCCAAGACAGCTCTCTCTGCAGAGCAACAGCGCCTTGTGTAGTAGAGGTCACTTCTAGGCAGGTTTCCCATTCTTAACCAAATTTCCTCAGTTAACATCTCAGCTCTCAAGACCCTGTTCTCACTTGCCTCTCTTTAATGGAACTCCTTACATGTCTTATCAATTCTTTCCTTCCAACATCTTTTAGATTTGTATGCTCTGAGAAAATAATTAGGTTCAATCGTATACTCCAGCCCAATATTTTCACTATTGATCCAGAGCTACAAACAATCACTTAGGGTGTTAAGGGCATGGGACAGAGGGAAAAGTCTGAAAGTGCTCTAGTGATTACTCCAATTTCCATACTCTGATTCACATCTGACAAGTAAGGGCTACCGAGAGGCCCCTGAAATTAGAATACTTACTTGACAACTTTGATTCGGAACCGCAAGTCTCCTGGTTCCCCATCCACGTGAGGTTCCCCTAGTCAGAACAGGTTACAGAATGGTGTAAGTCACACAAGTCAAACATCACACATCTATCTGGCAGATAGAAAATTTTTTTAAACCACTATCTTAGGTGTTGAGTTTGTCAAGTCTATCTATGAGGTACTGTCTATACCTGGCTATAGCAGGTTTCAGATTCTTAATCAAGATCACCTGTGGTTCAGGCACAGCCCTAAATAACTTGATCTGTTTCTTAAACAAAGAATGATTCACTGATTTCCTGAACCTGTAGTCTTAAAGGCTTATTTCTTTGAGAGTTTTAAATTTAACTCCAAAAGTGAGAGTATCTTATTAATGCCAGTAGAGTTATATACCTTCTTTCATTCCTGGGTTAAAATTAATTCATTAGATCTCAACAACCTAATTTTTTATTTAGCTGCATGACAGTATTACCAATGTTTAATAATACCAAATGTGATGGTTACAAAAGCTTTCTGTACCCAAAACTGACCAAAGTGTTGGGACCCATGCACTACGCAGCCACTAAGATGTGGAATGAGGGAGGGACGGGAGCAGGTATACACAAACAAGTAGAGAGCAGAAAGCTTTGCTAATACATCAATATTACTATTTTACCTTCTCCAATAAAGGGGTATTCCATGCCATCTCTCACGCCAGGTTCTATTTCTACCTCTAGTGTTCGTTCTTCATTCACTAGTCTGAGACAAAGAGAATTTAAAAAGTAACACATGAAAATATAAACCAACTCCAGATACAGATAGTTTTGTTATGCTCACAGAGATTTTTCACAGCTCTAGTTGACAAAGCTATCTGACATCTAATTCACATTGTCTACAAGCCAACAACCAAGCTTGAACTGAATGATCATTAACAGAGAAAACTATTCATAGACATTTGTCCCAGAAAGGGCAAGGTCATGTTTTAGGAATCTTGCATGAGAGTTTATCCTATCTGATTCCCTCTCATCCCCAAAATTCTACAAAGAACGGCTCTAGTTTTGCTATATGTAATTTAAGTTCCAATGTAAAAGTTGTGTTTATAATAATCAGCATTAGTATTTTAATATTTCTCTAACCTGCAATATTATCTGAACATGTAAGATTGTGCTAATATTCCAACAACAATATTTGCTAAGTAAATTCAGAAATAAAGGGCACTGCTTATTAAGTTCAGAAACACAAAAGGAAATATTCAGAAGTACTTTCTAAGAAAAATGAAAATGTCTGTTTCTTTGCCCTACCATCTGGTAAAATAAGAGAAGAGGGGAGAAAAATCTAGATATGGACCACTAGAATTTTATTAGACAAATGAGATGATGTATCTTCTGTAGAACAAAAGAGATGCTTTCACTCACTTGACATTAGGGCACTCATCACAGACCACCTCCTGGGTCATCTGGAAGCGCCCTGGGCCCAGCTGGGTGGTCCGCATCTCTTGCCGACAGTTACATTTTCGTTTGCCAGGAGCCTGCCTTGCCACAGGTTTGTTTCTAACTACCTATAAGTGAAAACACAACATCAGCTTGTCTGTCCAGTAAGTCAGGCTTTGTTTTCTTCAACCTTCAGAGCTCTGCACAAGTGCCAGGACTGAAACTTCCCCTTCTCTGGCAAGCCCTCCCTCAAGGAAAGAGAAACTGACAATACTTTTTGAGAAGCTAGTAGATATCAGCCCCCCAAAACAGAAATGAAGCCAGAGATATTTAAATGACTTAAACTCTAAAGCTGGAGAAGAGGGGAGTAAGAGAACTGAAAATACTGTGTATATGATCACCATTTCTAAGTCATAAACTAAATGCTATGATACCAAAATGGTTCACAGAATTACAATCTTTTAAGAAACTTAAGATGTGTAAAGCATAACCCCTGAAGAACCACAACCTTCAGAACCTGATATGGGACTATCATTATAGGATTAGCTGTGATGAACCTAATGAAAACACCTTGTTTTAGGCAACTCAATCTAGGACAGTTTTCTAGAGCTACCTGAATTCAGATATTCAACATGCAAAAGAGATACAAAGACCATCTCTTTGCAGGTGTCTGCAATCAAACATTCTGACCCATCTAAATATGTGGACACTAATATACATGAAGACATGCGTTTGCTGTTTCTGCCTGTTTAATAAATCAAACACTTAATCATTTAAGTGTTTGAACAAAACTCCCTTACAGCATACCAACATATGAAAATCAGGGTCAGCAGAAAAAAGAACAGTAACAGTAACTAGAGCACTTTCTGGTACTTACTATGCACTAAGCAGAGCTCCAATCACTTTTACGCATTTGACTCTTATAAACCTCACAAATTTATAAAGTAGGTGCTATGATTATCTCTCCTACAAGGCCACACAACTACTAGAGAGTACAGCCAGCATTCTAAAGCAGTCTAGCCCAGAAATTCATACTTCTAACAAATATGTTCTTTCAAGGCAGTTTTTCTTAGAGAAGAATTTTCTATGAGGCCTCTTATGCCCTTTACAATAATTAGATTAAAAAGGAGTAACTGGCCCTCCCTGGTGGCGCAGCAGGTTAAAGCACTGCACTAAGCTGAAACCATTTCTGCATGAGTTTGATTCCCACCTGCCCCAGAGGAGACCACATGGTGTGGCAGATCTCTCCTGACCCGCCTGCTGCTCCCCTCAGCAGTGTACTTCGTCGATCTACCTGTTCTGTTCTCCACTCTCTCTGGTGAAGCCCTCTCACCGCCCATGAGCCTCTCCCCCCAGTTCTGTATGCACAAATAAATCTTTTTTAAAAAAAAAGGAATAACTAATTGCAAGTGTGATGTGTGCTGTATATTAGTGGAGACTACATAGCATTCTAAAAGGGAACATAAGAGTTAACTAGACTCACCTTTTCTCTCCTGTCACAATACTACCCTATTTTGGAAGGAGGAGAGAGTCCAAATATTTTTAACACCTTTTTCTATGATTCTTCAATCTGAGCAACAGTGTTACAAGCCAGTTGCATCTTATGTAACTGTCCAGTTCTCTTTCAACTATTCAGAGCAAAACCATACTGATGCTTCTCTTAGAAAAACAATCCCACCCCCCTTCTCCCATCCCAAGACAACAATATACATAGGTGACAAGCTTTCTCCTCCAAAATCCTAGAAAACCTCTAAGAAAACATAGATTCCATGAGATAATAAATGTAACACAAAATCCCAGGGAAAACTCCAGACACAAAGGCTGTTTTGATCTGCAATGTGTACAGGGTGATGACTATTACTAGTGCAACAGTAGTTTGCGGGGGCAGTGAGATGTTAGAAAACAGCAGTTTAAGTTTTGTTCTAACCCCTCTCTTAGACAGGACCCAGACACCAAACAAACACAAAATGCTTCAAGTAAACAAACATAAAACAGGTAAATCCATCAGGTAAAGGCTCACCTTAATATGCTCTAGCAGAGTAATAGCTGACAAAACTCATGGGGGCAATGAGAGTGAGCTCAAAGGAAAAAAATAGCTAGAGACCAGGAGGAATCCAACTACTGCAACCAACATCTTCAACCTCACCCCAAGATAAAAAACTGTATATGCGGCAATTGTACTGGAGAAGACAGACCAAGGATTTCAAACAAGTATGGTAACACTTGAGGAGACAAGGCTAGATACTAGAAAAATAAAATAGAAAAAGAAATACTATAAGAATCAAGAGGAATATTATGTATAAAAATAGAAGTTGAGGGCCCTCCTTGGTGGCACAGCGGGTTAAAGCACAGCACTAAGAGTTCGATCCCCACCTGGCCCAGAGGTGACCCACATGGTGTGGCAGACCTCTCCTGACCCACCCGCTGCCCCCCTCAGCAGTGTACTTTGTCAGTCGGCCTGTTCTGCACACCACTCCGTCTCTGGTGACTCCTCTCACTGCCCCTGCACCTCTGGCCTGTACCCCGTTCTGTATATACAAATAAATCTTTTTTTTTTTTTTTTAAAAAAGGAGTTGAAATAAAAGCACAGCTGTTGGGATATTAACAGAATGGATATAGCTGACGATGGAAGAATAGAGCTAGACAACTAAAGTGAGACATTCTACAAGGAAGCAGAGAAAGATAAAGAAGTAGAGTTTAATACACACACATACATACATATGTATATATATATATATATATATATTCTTCTACATGTATAAAAAAGAAAGGTAAGAGCAGATAGCAGTAGAAGTACCAACTAAGAGATAAGTGTTTGAAAAAGTAACGGAAACAAATTTTCTAGAATTAAAAAAGATAAGTAATTTCAAATTAAAAGATCCCAAAATTTTAGTAGAAAATAAAAGCCAAGTATTTTCTTATTTTAGCTCAGAGAAAAATTTCTTAACACATACACACATAGACAAAACCATAAAAGAAAAGACAAATTTGATAGGCAGAAATTGACAAGGATAATAGGCAAAGTATTAAGAAATGGCAGATCTGAATGATCTCTTACTATAAACTGCTGGCAGAAGTGTTGGAGGCAATCAACTGAGAAAACAATATGGTATTATCACATACAACTAAAAATTGTTCATATTTCCTAGGAATTTCCACTCCTATATACACCCACGAAGGGAAAGTCTTGTGCATACTTATCTGGATATATGTAGAAGAATGTTCATACAAACACACTAGAATTTAAAAAATTGGAAATAGCCTTCCTCTTTATCCATATACTGTAGTCACAATGAAATTTCTATTCAGCAGAATTATAGCTATAAGCCCAAAGGGTGAATCTGTGACATAACCTCTCAAATGAAAAAAACCAGCCCCAGAAAATGACCTATGATGTGGTACCGTAATTACAAAAATAATGACAATAAATAACATATTAAAATACAACAAACAAACAAGAATGGCAAAGGAACAAAGAAGACAAAGCTTACGAGAGTGGTCACCTCGAAGGAAAGCAGGAGGACGGAGTAGGGAAGGAATAGGTAGGTTGCTCTAAGTCTTGGGCTGCCAGATGAGTTCATGAAACAGTAAGAGCATCATGAACCAAGGAATATCATTAATTCAATTCTGTACATTTTGTCTCCCTCACCTAAAATACAGAGAAAGTACCTAGAGGCTTTTGATTTTAAGTCAAAAGAACAAGTCCTGGATGGAATACAAAGAGTTGTGTTGTTTGGACTTACTTCCACAAAATTTCCCGCATAGACTTCTTCCAAAGTGACTTCTAGATCTACAATAATGTCACTTCCTCTTGGAATATTTCGGTCTTGCTGACGAGGAGTCCCTCCAAACATGAAACCAAAATCTCCAAAGAAACTGCAGATAAGGGTGAAAAATCAAGAAAAGTGAGACTTTATGTCTTTATTTAGTTTTCTTTACATGACCACATATTGTGTAAAACAAAAGATATTTTCAATCGACTGGAGTAATACACTATACACAATTTTTAACTACACAATATCAACTATATTGTCCCCTACCACAAAATCGAATTTTATTTTTCAATCCTGTATGACCCGGATATAAAACATATCACACATATACCAATAAATTCAAAGTTGGGATCAACCAATGAAATTAATAATCTGTTTCAATATTGCAGAATATGCAGGTGATGGACTTATTTAGAAAGGGTATAGTATGTGGTATGTGTATATATGTGTGTGTACACACACACACACACACACGTATGCTGAACTTAACAGTAACTTTGCACATTGAAGAAGTAACTTATATGTACAAAAATTTGGGTATGTACATAAGTAGCTAAAAAAAAATCCAGATCATAGGATCTGGATCAATTCCAGATCTTAAGGAAAAGGAAGTTCTAGTCTCTACAGTCCAAAATTAATTTCTGTAAGTAACAGAAGCATCACTTCGAGATTTACAAGTGATCCTTAACCATGAGGCATGTAATTCTTAATTTTTAGTTACTAAGAAGTACACATATTAGCATAGTGATGATGACAACTATGCAACTCCCCTTGTCAACCAACTATGATGAATGGACTCCTTGAATCTTAAAACAGGGAGGGAGGATTTGGCTGGGAGAAGGGGTGAATAATGAGTGTTTCTCATTCTAGCAATCACCTCTAACTGTCAAGGGGACGAAGACACCTCCTTAGTGGCAAAATAGTCAAATCAATCCTCAGGATATCGTAACCATATAATACCCCAAACTAGACTAGATGAAGAAAGCAATGAGCCTTGTACCCACAGAAAGGAACAGTTAAATATGTTTTTGCTTATAACTGGACTTGAAACGCGACACTAAGAAGCCCTGGTATATGGTATCATCACAGTATATGGAAATTCAGGGCTCAACAAAGTGGGGACTCAAAGATTAGAAAGGAAGTGTTTATTATTTCAGTTGACCAGCACTCCCAGAAGGAGACAAATTCCTTCTCCTAATGCTAGTTATCATAATAGTCCTCTCTTATTAATAGAATATAAGAAAGGCAGCTCTGGGGAGGGGAATAGGAATTTCTCTGTTTATAAAAATAACTGCTCATTAACTGGTCTGCAAGTTCTAAGGCATAAAGGAAACAAGGATGAGTATTTTCCAAGAAATTAGATCACGCCCCCACTAAACTGTCAGGATTGATCTGACTAGTAGAGTTGGTTATCTGGGCAACCCTTTCTGTGCTACCTGTCTTTTCTGGAGCTGTGTGGAAACAGTAGATGCTACCTTCCCATAGGGAGGATGATGACTGACTTTTTGCTCAAGAATCAGTAAATCAAAAGCTTCTGAGCAGGGGATTAGGAAAATTCTTTAATAATCACTAATTCACTCTCAGACACTAATGACTTACATATGAATAAATTACTTACTGTGAAAAAATGTCTCCATGGGAGCTCTGATGGCCATCTTTTAATCCCTCTTCACCGTAAGTGTCATATTGTTTCCGTTTCTCACTATCTGATAGAACCTGAGCACAAAAGCCAGTAGCAGGAAAGACAGCGAGTTAGTAACATTCAATTAAGGTACGTGTGTGTTTAAACTATGATACTGTGTCTAGGATTTTAGTGGAATTCACTTTTCATTAAACATGGCATTAAGGCAGATTTATAGTTACTTTCTTCAACAGACTAAGCTCTATCAGGCATTGCTCACTTTATAATTCCCACATTGCTCAAATGTCTTTTTAATGTAATCAAAATACACCAAGTCAGATAAAAACCATATCTGAGATTAGTGATATGGCTCTGTAGGTACGGGCTATAACCGAAAGAGGGGAGACAAATTCCTCAGGCTTACTTCCCATGTAAATGGATTCCAGTGCTCATGCTATTAACCATTATGCTGTATCTCTACACTACAAACTAAGATAGGACTATGATAGACTGTCATCAGTGACACAAGCAGTAAATGAGGACAGCCTGGGCCTTCCCTGGTGGCACAGCGGGTTAAAGAGCTGTATTGCAAGCGAACTGCAGCCACTTCAGTGCAAGTACGATCCCCGGCCCCAGAGGTGACCCACATGGCACAGCAGATCTCTCCTGCCTTGCTCTCTGCTCCCCTCAGCAGTGTACTTTTGTCAATCTGCCTGTTCTGCTCCCCACTCTGTTTTTGGTGAATCCTCTCACCATCCCTGTGCCCAGTTCTGTATGAATAAATAAATCTTAAAAAAAATTAAGACAGCCTTGAAACTTGCTCAGCCCTACACATCCTCTCTTGCTTCACCATGTGCACATTTGGAGACTGGCAATTCAGGGAACTAAATGATGGGCCCACCAGAAATCTCCTATTCCCCTTTGCAATCTTTGGGGTATGTAAAAATCCATTTGTGGAAGAATATACATGTCATCTGGCATGATTAAGTTTGTATCTTAAGTTTGAACTACAGAGAGTAAAAAATGGACACTGCTCTATGGGTGTTACTCAAAGTCAATTTCACAACAGAAATGTCTTGCTAAGGTTTTAGTGGCTTTGGTAAATAACATGCATATTCACAGCTATATGCTTTCTCATTAGGTCCACTCATTAAATAATACCAAAAAACATAAAAATAAAATGAGCCTCATACTCTTCAAAATTTGCTTGCAACATAGAAAAAATTGGTACCCTTTAATTTAGAGCAATAGGAAGTACATAACACATGTAACTTAAAATTAAGTAGCTTTATATCCATTCTCTGATATTTTAAAACTCTTATTTAGACAGTGTACTACATAAGAAAGTTATTTCAAACACATACTTGTGTTCACAAAGAAAAAGAGAGAATGGAAAGAGACAGAACTTGTTGATTCAATAAAAGGAAAAGATCTGATTAGCATATTCAAACAAGACACATTTTTTGGCTCCTGGACTGAATCAACACAAAGAACCGCAGTAAAAATTTATTAACATTTAAGATACATATTTAGGATAAACAGAAACTAAGTATACAGAGAGTAAGCATTCTTAACAAGCCAAGGCAAAAAGGTCAGAGTACTCAACAAAAGCTACTATGACAGGTCAGCTGAGAGAAAGGAAAACTCTGGAAAGTATATTTTAAAAACAGCTACTCTATAGAAGCAGAAATGAGAAGAATTAACTTAAAATTCATTATTTTATGATCTGGACTTTCCAGTAATTTCACTTTCAAGACAACTTCTCTTGTTTTATCTTGGCAAAGAAGTGAACACTATGTCTCTAAGAAACACCATTTCAAAGCCCCAAACAAAGACTATTTTGAAGCCAGTTTACTTTAGGACATCAGAGGGATCTACATGTACTCTTGATCTCCATATGGTCTATTTGGGTCATGAATGATCTAAGTACAGATTACTTAGGTAATAGTCCAAGAACATCATGGAATCTTTAAAAAGCACAGTAAATTTTCAGCACCAGCTTCCCTTGAAAATATTTTTTGAGCATCAAATTCCTAGCAAGCAATAGGACTATTCATGGGAAATACAGTGCAAAATATAGAATCCCTATTATCAATAATAGGAATGAGAATATGCCCCACTCTATTTTATAGTGCCCTAGTAAAAAATGAAATGATAAACTGAAAGTATTTTGATCTGTATATAAGAATCTGCAAATACAAACTATAACTGTTTTATTTGATCTGTGTGAAAAAGAAATTTCTTAATAAATTAGTTCCCAAAAATTTACAATCAGGAGCATTTACAAGGAAATTGGGATTTGCAACTGCTTTAAAAGAATGAAATGACTTGGCAACAGTGTCTGAATTCATAAATGGCAAAACCCAGCTGGGGCTGGACTACAGACAGGGCAAGGTTTCAGTTTTTCCCACCCTTTATCAATCCCTGGCAATGCCCAACACAGGGGGAGAGTAGGCAGTGTCATACTTTATCCTGTAACAGTCTGGCATGGCATCCTGTAGGCATGTGGATTTGCAATCCTCACTGAGATTTTGTGAGTTCTGGTTCCAGCTCCAAAACTGACTGACTGATCATAAACCTATTTGTTAATCTATCAATCCTACTTTCTTATATTCATTGTTCTTTAATATAATTCTCCTTAATAATGTTAGTATGAAAAAGGCAGAAAATGGCATTTATTAACAAGAATATAAGGTTAAGGACAATATAGCAAAAAGTACTACTTTTATTTTTACCTATTGTCTACTGAAGAAGTGATCTGAAAGAAAGGAGGCCTTCTATTTTTATGTACATAAAAAAAGGTTTTGCTTTTCCCTTTTTTCTGACTCACCTCATAAGCAGCACCCAGATCCTGGAATTTCTCCTGAGCTTGTGGATCATCAGGGTTCCGATCAGGATGAAGCTGCAGGGCTAGTTTCCTGTAGGCCTTTTTAATATCCTTTATAGAGGCACTGCGAGGTACCCCCAAGATCTTATAGAAATCTCGCCTAGGGAGGGAAAAGAGAGGACACTTCACTAAAGAGTTAGACATTTTTGGAAAGTGGAATTTTTTTCTTTACATCTAATTTGTATCTGAGTTAACAGGTAGGAAACGAAGGTACTAAGGTATATATGTGACATATAGATACAAAAAAGAATGACTAATAAGAATTGATAGTCTTATATTGAAATAATAACAATAAAAAGCAATGTATGTTTTGAGAAATGCTAAAATTACTTAAAGTATTCGTGATAAACTTAAAACAACTATCTTCAGCGGAAAAACCCATTTTCTTATATTTTAATGCCATGCATTATTTTCAACCAATAACCATATAGTCATATCAACTCATTCCCTTTTCCCCCATTACTGACTTCCAATGACTTTTGACTATTTTCAAAGGTCAAACGATAACTTCCAAAGGTGGTTTTTCCAAAAGACTGTCATATAAATGTCTAACAGTAGCACTGTCTAACAGTAGCAGTGTCTAACAGTAACATTGCTGGAATGCCAAAATTGAAGTGACCAAGTTAACTTCAGAGGTCAACAAAGGTTAAGCTAAAGTCCAAATAAGGGCACTGAAGAATAACACTAAATTGGATATATGAACTGTAGTGTTTTTTGCTAAAAGAAAGAAAATACCAATCTGTGGTCACTGTTAATAGTGATACTAGTTCCTTTAAGTCAAATATGAAGCCCGCATGCAGGGGCCTGTATCTCCCAGAAGTTGCAAATATGTAAATGGCATGAGATGGGAGAGAGATCCACTGATTTCCTTGCCAAATTAATGGTCAAGTGATTCTTTGCATGAACGGCCAATGGAAAGACAGAGTAAGAGTGTAATATTAATTCCAAGACAGGGGATTGTATCCAGCCCATAGAATAACAATAAATATTCATTGCATGAAATGAATAAGCATCCTCACAGATATCAAATACTTTTGCCAGAGTTACTTAAGCAACCAGAAGTTACATCTCAAAAATTTTTTTTCAATAAAGGGGAAAGAAAAGTTGATCACAATGGAGATACTCACGTAGAGTGATGGCAATTTTAAAATGTAGTTGGGAAAAAAGGCATTGTGTTACTAAAACCCAGGTAACATAAGATAGAACATTAAAAAATAGATTTTTATAAGTTCTAAGTCAACTTTAGGAAAATCATTTAATCATTTCATTTGTAAGTTTCAAAAATTATCACCACAAAGGATTCCCTGAAGATTAAACTAAATAAGTTAAAAAGTTCACAAAAATTAACAACAGAAATGCTAACTGTATAAAGAATGAGGCTTACTTAATGTATGTTTAATTTTAAAAAAGTGGTTAAGTGACAACTCAGGAAAATACAGGGGGGAAATGGTTCACATAGCTCAGCATCAACATTATAATTTCCAAAAGACTCCTTTACAAGGAAAAAGTTAACTGAAACAATTAACAAAACACCTTTGGGCACTTTTTGCTTTAAATGTAAAAGGTACTAGAAAAACATCAAAGCATTACTTAGGACAAGAGAAAAGATTAATAATGTAAGATATCTCACAAGGAAAAAAAAACACAAAATTTAAGCATGTATGAAAAGAAAAAAATTTAAGAGACAGCAAGCACTTAAACTGCTAGGTAGTATTTTCTCCATTTAGCATGACCTATATAAGTTAAGATCACACTCTTCTCATTCTAATACATGAACTTGATTTATCTCATTCTGTGCTCACCAGGCATACAGAATCATGATTCTTAAAAGTTGGAAGGACCTCAAGACTTCATGAGGGTCCTATTCCCTTTTAAGTGGCACATTATTATCCTCAAGTGACACATGAGACTTTAGATGACTGCATCAAGGTCACATAATTCATAAATGGATGGGTGTGGGTGGGCTAAAATCTGTCTTGTATCTACTACTGAAATGCTCTTCAGGCTCACTATCGTGTCTAAAGAACGTCCCATACAGACAGTTAAAGCATGGGTGACAGCATAGACTCACTATCTCAAAAAGCTGGGAAGTACAAAGGTTCTCCAAGGGATCTGTTTTAGTGCCTCAATTCAATTTTCTTCCGTCCTAGCATGTCCTTACCTATTTTCCTCACTTCCTCACCCACTTTAACACTAGCCCCTCAATGTCTCCTGGCAGGCTCAATATTTCCAGCATCGTTTCTCGTTGATTTTGGCACTGCACCCAACTTCTACTCTATGGGCAAATCTAGCTCTACGGGGCCTCTGGATTTAAACCCCTCTTATCCATACCACCCACAGCTCTCCCGCCCATTCCACACTACCCACCCCTCTCCCCCACCGCCTCATCACAGCAATTCTCCTCTCCACTTCTTTAATGTGGCAATGCCCCCACCACGTCGCCCCTCCTCCCTAGCCAAGACTCACAAGCCCGGTGCCCGCTCCTTACCCGCCGATCACGGCCCCGATGAGGTACAGCAGCAACAGGCAGAAGGTGCCCAGGTTCTGTGGGGCCATGGTTCCAGTGCCGGCCTCTGTGCCGGCCCTTGCCCCACGCACTCTTCACAACCTTCTTTTCCGCAGCGTCGGCTCGCCAGCCCACCGGACTCTAAGAGGCCGCCTCACGCCGGGGCCTCCACTAGGTCCGCAGAGACAGCTAGCTAGCCCCCTCCTCAGCCAGACAGACCACTTCCCGGGAGTCCCGAGACCCGGGGAGAGAAGCCCCTAGCGGACGAGAGCCAATCGCCATTCAGGACATCACACGCGGCCGGCATATCTCAGCCAATCAGTGCAGTACACTTCACCTCCGACACTGTGTCCGCGGCCAGTTAAACTTCGGAATTGCAGCCGCAGTTCTCGGCCAATTAGAAGAGGGAACGTCATATAGTCGCGCCGCCCCAGGAATCTGCTTTGCCCAGGCACCCGCAGGTCGTAGAAAATTACGTAAAGGTTGATGGGGGCCATGGTGCCAGTGAAGGTACCCGAAATATACAAACTTCCTCCCGCCTGCCTGAGACTTTTTACCAATCAGGAAGTTCTTCCTCTAACGCTAACCAATTGCAAAAAGGATGTTTTATCTTAGCTGCCAATCTCGGAATTTCATTCATATGGAGCTACTCACTGGATGGGCTGTGGGCGAAATGGGCGGCACTATTCAAGTCAATCCTATGACGGAAGACTCACTTAGATCGTATTTTACCTTCTGAAAAAAAAAAAAAAAAGAAAAGAAAAGGAAATTGTCCTACTTTCACAAAGCAGCTTAGGAAACATACAGACTTAGGTTCGGATTCACCTACCAAGAAGCAGCAAGAACACCAAACTTTTCCGTTCTGTCCCTTCTGTCTGAGCTCAAGTTCCTTTATTTAGAAACCTCAGGCAAAATAGTAACTGGTAGTGTTGTGAAATTTTTATGGGAGAAAATTTATCCACCACCTACCACAATATCTCGCACAGGGTAAGCATCAGTTATGAGAATTCTTATACTCGTCCCTCTTTTGCTCATCTTAGTAAATGAACCAGTTGTTCATGACAAAACTCGAGGTAACTTGATTATCTGTTCCTGTATCCCCTATCTAAATTTTTACCTTTTGCCTATCTCCTGGATTTGTTCAATACACCTCCACACCTTTCTGAGACAAGAGACATCATCTTTCACCTAAACCAAAGGCCTTTCTGGTTGGTCTCCTGATCTCCATTCTTAACATCCTAATATTTCTTTGTTTATTCCTGTCTCCCCAAACTCCATCACTTTTTTATAGCAACATGTCAGATCATGCCATTTCTCTTTAAAGTTTCCAATGGCTCTTGTGCTCAGAATAAAATCCGAACTACTTATGCTTATATGTAAGACCTTATATGCCTCGATAAAGCTGGAGAAAAGATTTTTTAAAAAACTTATATAATCTGTGACTTTGCCTTTTATACTTCTTACCACATTCCATCAAAACTGGTTTCTTGGCCCTCCCTGGTGGCGCAGCGGGTTAAAGCACAGCACTGAGAATCTAAAGCCGCTTCGGCATGAGTTCGATTCACACCTGCACCAGAGGTGACCACATGGTGTGGCAGACCTCTCCTGACCCTCCCGCTGCTCCCCTCAGCAGTGTATTTCGTCGATCTGCCTGTTCTGTTCCCACTCTGTCTCTGGTGAAGCCTCTCACCGCCCCTGAGCCTCTGGCCTGTACCCCAGTTCTGTATGCACAAATAAATAAATCTTTAAAAAAAAAAAAACTGGTTTCTTATCTCTCTTTCTTTTTTTTTATTACAGCAAGCTTATTTCAGTCTAAGGTATTTTTTCTAGCAGGTCTCTGCCTGAAACATTCTTTCTTAAGATTCTAATATGGATAACTCCTTTTCAAAATGAGGTATCAACTTAAATGTTACCATCTCTATAGGAAAACTACAGTAACTCCATCTTGTATTCATACCATTGCCCTATTCTGGGAAAAGAGCCAATTTCCCTCATTCTTTCTTTTATATTTCTGTCTATCCATCTTAATAGAACAAAAACTCATGTGAACTGTTCTCCCTCTTTATCTGCCCCCACCCCCACTCCTGGTACCATTAGGCTCACAATAGGAAAGTTCACACATACTAAGCAGGATATAAGAACTCTATCAGAGGATGTGGTGTGTAACGTGTCCCTAGTCCTGGCCACTGGCTCTAGTATTGATGATACCTGTAATATAAATTGCCTTGAAAAAACTTTAATTGCAATTCATGGATACACCTGCTTTGTTCTTCAGATTCAAATTACCTTATTCTTTTGGGGGAACTTATTTATTCATAACCTCAGAGAAGACTTCCCTGATCAACCAATTAAAGTTAGCCCATTGTAAGTCCATTATTCTCACACTACTCTATTTTATTTTGTTCCCATCCCTATCCTTCACATTCAAAAACACACTAGAATGTGTTTCATGAAAACGCAAGACTGGACTGTTCTGATCATACTTAGAACCAATCCAGCCAGTCCAAAAGTTGCCTCGACTGTCATTTCTGACGCTGGGTTTTTCAGAGCACAGCTCAAATTGACACAGACACTCTCCCCTTAAATTTCACATTTATTACTATCTGAAATTATCCTATTTTATCTCTTTAACGTGTATTATCTATTCCCTCTGTTAAAATATTCTCTCCAAGAAAGCAAAAACCTTACCTGTTTTGTTCAGTACTGTGATTCTAGTGCCTAACACAGTGCCAGACACACAATGGTAGTTGTGTTGCAGAAAACAAAAGCACAGAGAGGTGATAGAATCTGCTCAAGGTCACTAAACTAACTTAGTGGTGCAGCATGGATCCTAACTCAAGTGTTTAAATCCAAGTCTCCTGCTCTTTACCTCTTGATTAATACAGAGTTAAAAGGAAAACAAGTTTGTCATTTTCAGGAAGATGCCTATAGAAGAGAGAGATCTGAAGAGGGAATCCAGCTGTATATTATGGTTTTATTTTTTATTGTATATCCCATACCTAGAGAAACCATAAATGAATTAAGATAACAAGAAATTATCAAATCATGAAATGGAGACTTAGAGGAAAAAGTGATGTTTTCCTCTGGTGGAATCCAAATGTCTCGTGAAGGTTGTTAAAAAGAAAATAACGGGCCCCAAATGGAGGACCTTCTACTTAGTCCAACAAAATTTAATACCAAACCTCACTGCTGTTTTAACACCCCTTCCTCCCCCAACTCTGAACCCCACCCCTGCAGTTTTAATATTTCCAGGAATGTGATCATAACTGGTTAACACGGAATATTCTGGTCTGTACCAATTAGTTTATCTTTTTCATTTTCCAAAGGAAAATGAGGTTATCTGTCATAAGAACCTTTATCCATTCCCCATAGGTCGGTTACTTAAAAGTGAAATAATTTCCTTTTTTTATATTGCCCTTTTTGAGCTCATAAAAACTTTTCCTTTTGAATGCCTTTCCCGATTCTTTCATTTTGTTAGGTTGGATGCTGCTCTGCTCATGAATCATTTGATAAAGCCAATTAGATTTTTAATGTTAACTTAGTTGTCTATTTTTGTTGTTGTTATTTAACACAACAACACAGTGGAAAAGTTAATAGAATTAAGGAGCTAGCTTTGGGGGGAAAGGCTTTTGCTTTAGATGGTCTGAGTTTATTATAGCTTGTCTATTTTGCTGTGTGTGCTTAGGAGAGTGTTACTTTTTACCTCTTTAAACACCAGTTTTCCCATCTGTAAGACCACTGTACTTAACTTAAGGGACTTGGGAAGACTGAGATTAATACACATGGAGATGCTTTGCATATTGTCAACCCACAGTAAGCACTTTATACCAGGAAACTCATTATTACTGATCAAAGCGTGGCGACCTTACAGTTAGCTATTGGCTGACCACAGCTCTGTGGAGCAACAGATAACTTCCTGATGCCCCGCGTTAAAAGTCTCGGCACCACAAAGCAGCGGAATCGAGCTCCTGGCCCCAGAACCGAGAAATAAGGTACTTGGCCTCTGCGTTGACGGAGACGCACCCGTCGCTCTAGCAACTTCGCCCTCCAGCTCTCGGTGGTGCGAGACCGCGCGCTTGCGCGGTAGGTGCGGCCGCCGGCTGGCGAGCGGGCGCTGGGAGCGGCGGCGCGGAGAGTGCGGTGGAGCTGCGCCTGCCGATGCAGGTAACCACTCGCGGGCCGGCTCCTGGAAGGGCTGGTTGTTGCGCCTTAGGCTCGGGCAGGGTAGGCGGTCTTCATGCTCACCCCGTGTCAGGTCCAGCATCGGCCTGAGGCTCCCGGTTCCCGAAGTCTGGCCGCGGTGCTCGGGCCGCCCGCCCCCTGTCCTACCCGAGGCAGCGTCCCAGCCCTCACCGTGTCCCAGGCGGCGGGGAAGGCGCCAGAGAACCGCCAGGGTTCTCCGGCCGATTTCCCCTCCCGAAAACTAAGACCGAAAACTAAGACCCGCGGGGTAGAATTTGAAGCGGGAAAGAGCTTCAGGTTGTTTACAAATTTAGCCCTTCTGAGTTTGACTTAGAATGGAGGGTTCATCCCCAGGATTTGGCTTCTGACTGCACCGTTAGGGTCAGGAGCAATGTACCTCACGGGGCAGCCTGTTACCTCTGGAGAGCTGACATCCTCCTCGCGCGACTTCCTTAGTCTGGCTCGTACTCAGCTGGACGCCTAGCCAGCCACTCCCTTGTTCCGAGACAGTTGCCGGTTCCCCTCCCTCACACCACTGTGGGTTTGTTCATTCTGTGTCCCATCAACTGACCCCGATGTGCCTCATGCCAAAGGCAGCTCATTATGGCAGCCCTTTTCAGGATCCATTCCCATTTTCCAGAGATGCTCCTGAACCGGTTTGCTAAATAAAACCGTTCTCAATTTAGATTTGAATTCTAATTCAAGTATGTGACTTGAGTTAAGGCTTTTAACTTCTCTTAGCTTCCGTTTTCTCTTCTGAAAATGGGGATAACCGTATGTATCTCCAGGGAGTGTGAGGGCAATGGAGATCAAGGCCACCAGAAGTATTTCACATGCTACTTGGCATTAGTAAACACTCTGCTGATGTCAGTTATTTTTTGAACAGATAATACCCTCCCGCCCCCCAAGCATTAGTTTGTTATCAAATGCAACATGTAATAATGGCAACCAAACATTTCTCATCAGTCAAAAGGTTTTTTAAGTGATGTTAATACTGAGAAGGGTTCCAAGAAGAGAGGGTACCTTGGTCAAGTGATGGTTTTGGTTAATAACATCTTGGAAATTCATGGAAAATAGATCAAGAGCTTCAGAAGTTATCAGTTACTTCATTTTACAAATTTACACCTGAAAATCTTCTCTGGGGAATAATTATGCAGGAAATGTGCAGACAGATGGGAATTATAGCATTATGTACAACAGTGAAAACATTAAAACTTTTTTAATGGACAATTGTAACGTACAGAAGTAGAAAAGGCAGATAAACCCACCATGTGCACATCACCCAACTAAAATAATGATCAATACTTTGCCTATTTTATTTTTGTGAAAATTTTTAAAATAATGTCTAAAAATGGAATAGTTGAATAAACTAGGATACATTTATTAGAATGCTATGAAGCTTTTAAAATAATATAAAATTGTGTATTTGATATCAAAATTGTGAAAACAGAAACTACAATCTGTAGAAAGAAAACAAGAGGGAAATACAGTATTAACCTGTTTCTCTGATGGTGCAACTAAATAGTTTCTTATCTTCTATTTTCAGATATTTTACAAATAAAAATATTCCATACAAACTATGTATTGTTATAAGAAACAGTATTTAAAAATACTGCACCAGAATTAAAAAATACTCTACTATGCCATAGCAGGGTCACTGTTACAGAGAATGAAAATGCTTTAAGTTCCGCAGATCTATTTCTGCAGCCTGTGTTTCTATAAGCAGTCTTGTCAGCCTCTTGTGTTGGCCCTTTCTGTTGAGTTTATGTGGTCAGCTAACCTCCGTACTAACCAGCCATACTCCTTATATAAGTGATTTAACTCTGTAAAATTTTATTCCCTTTATCCTTTATTTTTACTAATGCTATCCATCAAGGTATGTATAGCAAGATTTTCTGTTATGATATGATTCCCACTTCATCTTGCTGTCCTGAGTAGGGATTCCTCATGCATTTATTTTCATACTTTTCCTAAAACAACCCCTTTAAACCATTTAAGTAGGTAATGTATTTTTTTTCCACAAAAATTTTCTTGCTTAAATACAAGACAGGCCTCTCATTACAAACATCTCTGTAGTGAGATGTCACCAAAAATCTATTCTGCTCTAAGTTGATAAGCTATATCTGCATTTTAAATTGCAAGAGTAGGAGAGGGTTCACCTTACAAGAAAATGTATAGATGACTTTGGTTTCAAATACATATGTGAAGAAACTTGTTTTCTAGGTATGCAAAGAAGGCTTTTCACGCAGATATCCATAGAGATAATATGGACCAGCCCGGAGTTCTCCTCTGGGTGAAAGCAGAACCCTTTATAGTGGGCGCCTTGCAGGTGCCCCCGCCATCCAAATTCAGTCTTCACTATCTCAGGAAGATATCTACCTATGTACGAACCCGGGTCACAGAGAAAGCTTACCCACGTCTGTACTGGTCGGTATGGAGGCACATCGCATGTGGGAAGCTGCAGTTGCCCAAGGATCTGGCATGGCTTTACTTTGAAATATTTGATAGTCTGGAAGTGAAGACATCACAGGAGCGCCTGGAGTGGTCTGAGATTCTGTCCAACTGTGTGTCTGAGGATGAAGTTGAAAAGCAAAGAAACCAGGTATGGCTTTATATATTTATATGTGTTGTGTAATTTGGGAAATAATTTTTTTTTAAGATTTATTTATTTCTGCATACAGAACTGGGGTACAAGCCAGAGGTGCAGGGGCTGTGAAAGGGCCTTTTTTTTTTTTTTAATTGTACTAGCTGTACAGTGCAGTTTCAGGTTAATGGTCCTGAGGATTCCAAAACACTATTTGAGTAGTACTGGTTCCAGTTTGGCAGTATTTAATATATTTAATAAATGAGGTCTTATTTAGCAATCCTTATCCACCTATTCCCAAAGCATGTTTGAGTAACATTAGTAGGAAGAGGAAGACATTTCTACTGACTTGAGAGGTTTTCAGCCAATTGGATGCTTATAAATCAAATTTGTTATAGAGTACCTGACTCTTTGCAGGTGAATATGTGCTTTGTGCTAGGTTTCAATGATTAGGACAGCGTTTTTGTCCTCACACTTTCAATGATTAGGACAGCATTTCTGTCCTCACAGAGATCAGAGACTAAGAGGAAGCTGGTGTACAAACAAGTGCAACTTAATACTGCAACATGTACAGAAACAAAAGTAACAATAAAATATGAAAATAGAATGGAGAATGATTAATTCTGCTGCATGGGAAGGATTTCCCAGAGAAAGTGTATAAGTCAGAGTAGTAACAATCAGTCCCAGCCTTTCAGTGGCTTAACACAGTAATAGTTCTTTTCTCATTCATGCTACAGCCAACACAGACCATCAAGTTGGATGAAATTTTAAGTAAACTATTGTTGTCCAAGTTACGACTCAGAGATCAAGGGTATTACAGTTATTTATTAATTAACCATTTATTCTATGCCCATTATGTAGTGGCTGCCATGAACACAGAGATGAATAAAACCTGCAGGAAACTCCAGATTTTCTGAGTGCTGTGTGCTAGATTCTATCCTACTTGCTAGAAATATAAAAATGAAAAAGACCTCCCTGGTGGCGCAGCAGGTTAGGACACAGTACAGCAAGCTAGCTGCAGCCACTTCACTGTGAGTTTGATCCCGGACCCTGGAGGTGACCCACATGGCATGGCAGACCTCTCCTGACCCACCCGCTGCTCCCCTCAGCAGTGTACTTCATTGATCTGTCTGTTCTGCTCCCCACTCTGTCTCTGGTGAAACCTCTCACCGTCCCTGCACCTCTGGCCTGTATCCCTACTCTGTATGAATAAATAAATAAACCTTTAAAGAAAAAATGAAAAAGACAAGAACCTCTATTTCATGGAGAGGCAAGCATGTGATAAAATAATAAAAATATAGCAAATTGTTAAATGGAAGCATGTATAAAATTAGGGTATTATGCTGAAAGAAGCAAATCCCAAAAGATTACATACTGTATGAATCCAATTATATAACATTCTTAAAATAATTAAGAGAACAGATAAATAATTGTCAAGAGTTATGAAAGGGTGTGAGAGTGGGTGGGAGGTGGGTGTGGTTATAAAAGGACAACATGAGAGATCCTTGTGTTGATGGAAATGTTGCATATCTTGGTTCTATTATCATTATCACACTTAGGAAGTTTGTATGATTTGAAACTGGATAAATAATACATGTGACCGCTGTTCTTACAAGTGCATGGGAATCTACAATTTTTCTCAAAAAGTTTTTTTCAATCTATAGATTCATGGGGCTCCACACTGAGTTGAAGGAATAGGTGTAGGTGATCCCGAGAACTGTATTTTTAAGTTCTTTAGCTATATCAACTTTTTAGCCAGGGTAGCCCCAAATGTCTTATTTCAACTTTTTTGCTCCTCCTATATGTATATGAGAATGGGTATATGAAGATAATCATGAGCATCAAATCCTGAGTGTCAAGTCACATCCTCTGTAAATACGAAGTGACTCACATCTCTCATGCCAGTACTTTTGTTTTTAAGTCAAACATGTCTTTAAGAATTTGCTGAAAATGTAAGGCCTGCCCCCCCCCCAAATGGGTGTACACCAAAAGCTTGCTCACCACTTCAGTCATTGTCCTGGTTATCTTAAACTTTCTTCATACATATTTGAGTTTTGATGCAGTGTCTTGATTAGATTTTCTTTCTCTTCTTCATCTATTTACTTATTAAATTACTAAGGTTTTTTTAAACTGAAATTTTAAATTTCTGAAATAGTATACTTTTTAGAAGTATGTCTTTCAGTCTTCATCAGTTTTGGGAGAGGATGTCTGAATATAGATGGCAAAGATATCTTTTTGAGCAAGTAAAGGATTGTGGTTAAATTAGTTTTGGGAACTCCTCTAGCTGAGTATCAGAGGACATACACTATCAAACTGTATTCTTAAGATCGGCAGTCTGTTGTGAATTTATGTAATTGTAGACTCGTGACTGATGTGTTTTTGGGACACATGTTCATCATGTATTTTCTTTTTGGACAGCTTTCAGTGGACACTCTACAGTTTCTGCTCTTCTTATATATACAACAGTTAAACAAGGTCTCTCTGAGGACATCATTGATTGGAGAAGAATGGCCTAGTCCCCGAAGCAGATCGCAGTCACCTGACCTGACTGAAAAATCCAGTTGTCACAATAAGGTACTATTAAATTTTAATATCTAAATTTCCTGAAAGGAACAATATGTGAGGGAGATGGTTTGTCTTCATTAAAAATTATGTTGCAATTACTTCAATAAGCTAGTGATTTGCTGTTTGTTTTGTTCTTTTACTTTTTCCCCTTAATTATAAAATGTAATCAATATATGCCATCTTAATCAAATTAAAGACATGATTTCAGTTTCTTCATTGACACAAAAATTACTTATGTGGTTTTGCGGCAAATCATGCAGTCTTCTCTTATTAGCATTCCCACTTTTGTATATGTTAATGAATTATGATCTATTTATTTGACTAAGTTAGGATAAGTGAGAAGGTACAGTATTTGCAAAACCTGTTAATGAAAAATTCTATTTCTATGTGATTGCTATTTGCTTAATACTTAAATTCAAAATACTTCAGTAGTTATAAAAGATGTGACACAACCTAGAAGTTAAATTTAACTTCCTTATATTGTGAGTTTCAGAAAATGTCTTATTCTTTTTAATATTTTTATAAAACCAAAATATTTTTACATGTTCGTGTAAAAACATTTTGAAAAACTTTAACTAAAATATAGGTTTCAGTTTTAGTTTATCAGACTCTTAAAAATGTTCTAAGGCTAAAAATAAATCTCTTTGACATTTGGTGCTTTTATAATCCGTTTTTCTAATAAATTGTTTGCTCTTACATTCCATGACACTGTTCCAGCCTGGTTCTGCTTCTGATTCTTTTTTCTCCTTCTCTATTCATGAACCTCTCTTCCCTGACTTTTATATGATCCTGTTCCCTCAGGATTTTGCCGATGGCAATTTTGTCTTCTCACTACAGCTCTTCATTCAGCATAATTTAGTCTTTTCCCATGACTTATATCTCCGTCATTCCTAAGTTTGTCTTCATCCTAGATTTATCTCTTTGCACATAGATTCCTATGTTTACCTTAAATTTGGAATGACCAAGTCCAGACATTTTAAAGATGCCAATTATTGCCTATTCTTTCCACATGCACTTCCTTCTGAGTGGGCAACATTGAGAGAGAATGTTTGAGCCAAGGTAGCCAGCATTCACATCTGACTCTGCCACTTAGTCGCACATGATTTTTTTGGCAAGTCAGTTAACTTCTCTAGGGCTTAACTTTTCTTCTGTAGTTGGGTATAATAATACCTACTTCTGAAAAGCTGTGAGAATTCAGTAAAATAATAGCTGGAGACATGTTGCATTCTGAGCATCAGTAAATTGTAATTCTCTTTTATGCTATAGTATAACTTCTTCCATCAATTGCTTTTTGACTAGAATTGCAGTTTGACTATAGGATATATTTGGCATTGGTCTGATTTGTGATTATAACCTAGCCCAATCAAAAACCCTTGTGGACTAAACAGTTGTGGACTAAAGGCTGTGTTGGGTACTTGAGCTGCCAGCTCATTTGGCATTGGGGTCAGAAATAGCCATCTTGCTCATGAATGACCTGGAATTATGAGGGATTAAAATCTGAGGTAATCAGAGAAAAAGAAGAGAATAGAATAGATGTGCAGAGAGATTCTGGCCCCTAAGGGAGAACCAGGTTCCAGCTAGCTTTCCACTCCAGCTCTGGTGAGTCCTACCTGCACTTTAGCTTTGGAGACATTTGTGTCCCTCTGCAGTAATTACTAGGACTCACTTTTATTCCTTGTACCAGTGAATTACTACCAGCTACCCTTACTCATGCTGACTTACTCTGAGTTCCTTGAGGACAGGAACTGTCTTGTTTGATTTACATAATTCATCACTTAAACATTGCTCATAAGAGATTCAGCAAATATCTGTCAAAAGAATGAGCAAAACCTTGGGACATTCGCCAATTGAGGCCTATTCCCAAAGTTACCATTTCTCTTCCTTTTAGTCACTGTAGGATGCTGTATTTTGTGTAGTGAAATTTAAAATTCCTTCAGTAATTCATGATGGTAAATATAGGAAATTGATGCTTCATAGAATGTCTCAGATGATTATTTTATGTTTGATCTGAAATTTTTAGAATATTTACGTCTGTGAATTTGGGCAAGTTTATGTACTTTCCATATCTCCATTTTCTCATATGTACAGTGGGCATGATAATAACATCTCTATTTTAAAATTATTGTTGAATTAAACGCTGAAGTTTTTATACCAGTTAGTGCTTGGCACACACTAAGGGTTAGCTATTACTTTATTACTTTTTAGTTATCTACGCTGGAGAAAGAAAATGTTTATATCTGTTAGAATCACAAAAAAAAATTATGAGATTTATATAGCCATCTCAAATGATTTGGGGGGGAATGAGGCAAAGTATAGCTATAAAATAATGAAAATGTAAAAATATCAGGCCTTGGAGAATCTCTCTATTCTTCTAAGAGTGCTTTCTTTTGATATTTTTAGAACTGGAATGATTACTGTCACCAAGCTTTTGTCTGTGATCATCTGTCCGATCTTCTAGAACTGCTTTTGGATCCAGAACAACTCACTGCATCATCTCATTCAACCCATACTAGTCTAGTCTCTCGAGAAGCTGTTGTGGCACTAAGCTTCCTTATTGAAGGTTCAGTGAAGACAGCCAGGAAGATATATCCACTTCATGAACTTGCACTTTGGCAACCACTGCATGCACAAAGTGGCTTCTCAAAGATCTCTAGGACCTTTTCTTTCTACAAGCTGGAAGCCTGGTTGAGAGCCTGCTTGACTGGGAATCCATTTGGCATGTCTGCTTGCCTCAAATCTGGAAAGAAGTTGGCTTGGGCTCACCAAGGTATTTTTTAACATTTTAATCTACATTAAACTGAATGATAAGTTAAAGAACCTAGTTTTTTCCAGCATATTATTAATCACTTATCTTCTGTAAAAGACTTAAAAAAATTACTAGAGTAAAAAGGCAACATTTCCCTTTGCATATGACTTTCTTTCAAGACAGCAACAGTCTCAGAGTTGACTCATCAGTCCATGTTGCTTTGGTTGCAATTAACAGAAACTCCAACTTCAGATAGTCCTCTCTTTTCCCACTCTTTCTCCATCTTACTTTCATCTGCTTATTTGTGTGAGACTTTCTTATTTTTTAGGCAATAGCAGAGTGTGGCCATTCTATAGTTTGAACCACAGAAAGTTGGGGTAGAGATGAGGTTGCTTAAATTACAGAGACATAAGGAAATTAGGTATGTCTAAATTAGAAATTTAGATTTATAGTAGAAGAGTATTTTTGGTTGCATCAGTATCTTTTCCTGATAGCCCAGCAATAACTGAAGGGGTAGGACAGGTGCTATATGACCTTCTTGGAGCCCAGGTTAATACATTTGAGGGAGAAGAGAGACTGAGTACATATCTCAATAGGTGGCTAGATTGAGCAAATGTCAGAAAAAAATTAATGGGGGAAAAAAACCCCAAAGCACTAGGACATATTTGTATAATCTCTGAATTTCAAAGTAATGAAGAAATAGATCCTGTGCTTGCTGATATAAAGAGAGTCAATTTTGTATCAATTTTTATCATGCTAAAAAAATAATTGAGCAGTATCTATGGAACCTTGAGACAAAAAGATTGTTATCCAAGAGTTTTCTGTCTCCCCAACCTGTTGCCCTAATAGGCGGTTAGGGATTTTAGGGCTCCCACAAATATGGAGGAGAATACATAATTCTTAATGCTGATTAAAAAAAAAAAACAAAACTTATGTAGCTTTAGGTAAGGTTGTAAATGTTGTTAAAGTAGGCCCTTATAGGAAAAAAGAGGATATCTAACCTCTCAGGATTGTACTAAAATGTTAACAGTAGTATATGGGAGGATTATAAATAATTTTTCTTTTATTACTAGTAATTAAAGTTTCTCTACAGTAACCATACATTACTTACATAATAAAAGGAGATAATAGAGACTGTTTTAAAAGAAAAATAACAACATATTCTTGTGACTCCCCCACATTTGAACAGTTTGACCAGTATTATTTACAAGAATGCCCTGGTGGTTCACACTTCTGCAGTCTGAGAAGCCAGTCACCTACTGGTGGGACTGCATTAAGAGAGCAACCTGTGTAGGTTATTTTTTGAGTATCAGCAGTAGGTGCTATATATGACAGGTAGGTGAGCTCTCTACTGGGGAGTTAGTAATGATCTTGGGAATAAAGATTTGAACCAAATAGAATTTCTGGAATGATGTGGTAGTGATTTAGCAGAAGTTCAGATTAGTATTGTGACAATTTAAAGAGATTATTTAAGGATTGAAATGATAAATTAACTCATTGGCATCTTAGAAGAAGCTCTGCCACATACTAGCTATATGACCTTGGGCATGTTACTTGAAGAGCAGAAATGATTTTAAAAATATTAGTTGTCTAGGCAATATTGAATGGAGTATAGGCTTAAACATTTTATAACAAAAATCATAAAATATTGCAACCATGCAAAAAAGTATGTATAGCAAACACATTACCCCACACCTAGACCTAGCATTTTTTAAAACCTTACAGTTATCTAACTTACGTAGACATGTAGACATGTTTAACTTCATGTGATTTTTTTCTTTGATTTGAAAATATTTCATTTGTTTTTGTAGTTGAAGGAACGACCAAAAGAGCTAAAATTGCTTGTAATATTCACGTGGCCCCTAGGATGCACCGCATGTTGGTGATGAGCCAGGTTTACAAACAGACATTAGCCAAGAGCTCAGACACTCTGGTGGGGGCACATGTGAAGATTCATCGTTGCAACGAGTCTTTTATATATCTGCTCTCTCCCTTACGGTAAGTACAGTCTTCATACTGTTCTGACATTTTTATATTTTTTTGGAATAGGATTGATAAATATTTTTTTTTTGCATGACAGAATACTATTTCAATAAAAATATTTTTCATCTTATTCAGAAGAATTCATCTTACTTTTTCATATTTCAGGTCTGTGACAATTGAGAAGTGTAGAAATAGCACCTTTGTCCTGGGCCCTGTACAGACTGCTCTTCACCTCCACAGCTGTGACAATGTTAAAGTCATTGCTGTTTGCCATCGTTTGTCCATTTCTTCAACAACGGGTTGTATCTTTCATATTCTGACACCTACACGCCCACTTATTCTTTCTGGGAATGAGACAGTAACTTTTGCCCCTTTTCATACTCATTACCCAATGTTGGAGGAACATATGGCCAGGACTGGTATTGCTACAGTGCCTAACTATTGGGACAATCCAATGATTGTATGTAGAGAGAACAGAGACACAGATGTCTTCCGGCTCTTACCACCTTGTGAATTCTATGTATTCATTATTCCCTTTGAAATGGAAGGGGACACAACAGAGATACCTGGGGGTCTTCCATCTGCATATCAGAAAGCACTGGGTCAAAGAGAACAGAAGATACAGATCTGGCAGAAAACTGTGAAGGAGGCTCGTTTGACAAAGTGAGTAATTTGTAGAAGTAATAATTTGTCTTTGATGTAAAACTCCTTGGGAAAGCAAATTAATCTGCATGTGTTTATGGACATGCTAAAGTAATAAAAAGATAAAGCTATTTCTTTTGTTAAGGCTTGGGTTTCAGGTCAGTATTCCAGGTACTATTTATTTAAAAAGATTTATTATTTATGCATACAGAACTGGGGTACAGGTCAGAGGTTCAAGGGCAGTGAGAGGATTCACCACAGACAGAGTGGGGGAGCAGGACAGGCAGATTGACAAAATACACTGCTGAGGAGAGCAGTGGGCACGACAGGAGAGGTCTGTTGTGCCATGTTGGTCACCTTCCTGGCCAGGGATCCAGCTTGTGGTGAAGCAGCTGCTATTAGCACTGGCTTCGTAGTATTGCTCTTTAACCCTTTGGGCTACCAGGGAGGGCCCCTCAGGTGCTTAACTGCATGATAAAGTAAGGAAATAATCAAGTGTTAGACTTGATTCGTCTAAGAAGCTTAAGTTTAGTTGACAATATAAATTACATTTTTAAGTGAAACATAGAATATGCCATTTAGTCCGGTACTAATAAATAGATTTAATTTTTATTTCGCTACATTATACTGGTAGCTCTCAAATTTGGTTGTGCAGCAGAATCATCTAAGGAGCTTGTTAAAAATGCAGACTTCCTGTTTCCACCACCCCATAGATAGCCAGTCCAGAAGTGAATTCCTAGTGACACTTTTTATCAACGTTTTCCCTAATCCATGGTAAAATATGACAAATAAGTACAATATTTTAAAATAAGGCTAAATGTAGTCAGTTTAAATACTATCTTTACTAATAGTATTTCCTTCCTACTTTTGGAGCTCTAAAATATTTTAAATAACATGCTTTTATTGTAGATCATTGTGGTTTATTATGTCTACTACAAAATTTTATTTCAAGGGTGTTGGCCCTGAAGTCTAGAAACTAGGAACATACTCTGTGGCATAAAGATTCAGAAAACATCACTGTGAATAGTTAGAGACACTCTATGGAGGAAGTACAATTTGTATTGGACTTTGATACATGAACTGAGTTTGGATAGAAGTGAGAATTGAGCAGAATACTTTCCACAGCACTGGAGGAGCAGATGTGGAAGCAGAAGCAGAAGTAGCTATCCTGGAAGTCATTTGCTGAAACAGGATTCTGGATCTGGAATAATGTATTTAGGCGTGGATGGGTAGACTGAACCAGATTATAGACTCTTGAATTCCAGCAGTGAAAGTTAGATTTAAGTGAAATTAAGTGTTAGGAGCTATTAAAGGGTTTTGAACAATTGACTGAATAACAGAAAGCTATATTTATTCAGAAACATTTATATAATATTTATGGAATATAAACCCTTTATTAGATGCTATAGCATACTTTAAAGATGTAATGCAAAGGGATTACACATAATGCAGATCTGGTTAGAGATTTGAAAGAGGAAAATCAGGGTGATCGTCTAGGAAACTGGATTACAGTGATGAGAAAGAGGATAGAGTCCAAAAATAGTTTAGCAGGAGGCAGGAATCAGTGCACAGTTTTTTTTTTTGTTTGTTTTTTTAAAGATTTATTTTTTTGTGCATACAGAACTGGGGTACAGGCCAGAGGCTCAGGGGCAGTGAGAGGCCCTGAGACAGAGTGGGGAGCAGAACAGGCCAAATGTCGAAGTACACTGCTGAGGGGAGCAGCGGGCGGGTCAGGAGAGGTCTGCCGCACCATGTGGTCACCTCTGGTGCAGGTGGGAATCGAACTCATGCCGAAGCGGCTTTAGATTCTCAGTGCTGTGCTTTAACCCGCTGCGCCACCAGGGAGGGCCGGAATCAGTGCACAGTTATGTGAGAAAAATGATGATAAGGAACTTGAACAGAGAGACTAATATTTTATCTAAAGTCACACAGATCCTGGATTCCAGGCCAGAACCTGGATTCTTAGTGTCTTTGTTTTTTATAAATGATATTATGTATAATATAATTTCAATGATGTTATGAAAATGGATGATTACTGTAAAAAAATATATAAAGTAAATAAATAAAACTAACGCATCTCAGACAACCATAATTTGAATAGAAACTCTTAATAGAATATATTATATAAGTCAGAAAACAAATTCACTCATTTCTATTCTGACCTTTAAAAGCCACGGGAGAGATAGGCCATGATTATTGTTTGGATAAGGAGTGATTTTTCACCAGGACAGTTTCTGTTTAAATCATGTGGCTTTGATTCAGACTGTGTTTAAATCTTGACATTTTCCATCCATAGATAATTATGTTGCCAAGGGGGTGGGTAGAACTAGAAAGCATCCTTTAAAGCATTTCTGTTGTTTGAGTGCTTCTGTTATTTAGATGCCTAGACTTTTTATGTATGTAAAAATCTTCTACATATATGCAACGTTTAGGATGTAGTAAGTATTAAATAAATGTTGACCTTCAATTATAGTGTATTCAAGCATTCCGATTTAGAATAACACCAGAAACACTCAATTTAGCTTTGGTTTGAACCCAAAGTATTTTTGGCTTATGTCTGGAATGAGATATGATTATCTCACCTTGAGCTATCACCATCCCATGCTGACCTTGTCTCAGGGTGTTCTGTGGAATTATGTTCAGTAGAAATTGTGGCTAGACCACGCCCTAGCCCTGCTGATACTACTACTAAGCTAATTCCTGATAATCAGAAGCTACCCTTTCTAATGCTGAACGTGTGAAATATCCTCTTACTTTAGAGCTTTTGCACTTTGTTTCCTCAGCCTGCAGTGCTCGTCACTTCATTCAGACTTCTGCTCAGGCGTCATCCCAGAGGGGTTTTCTCTGTCCATTTTCTTCAGTAGCATTGTCAACATTCTCCACTTCCTCTCGTATTTTTAGCCAACACATTTATGACTACTTAAGTTCATGACATATATCTGTTTTATTTATTACTCACATCCTTCCCAGGGAGCATAGGTGACATAGATCGCATGTGAGTTGTGCCCTCTGGAGTCACAAGCCTGCCAGACAGAGGGTTGGTCTCCCTTCCTTTCTTTAAACATTTGTCATTCAGCATGCTGCATCATTTGGTCCTCAGTAAATATCTGTTGAGTTAATAACCACAATAGAACAAGATGTAGTTCTAGATAAGTCTTTACAAAAAATGCATTCTATCTGACCAGTCTTTTTTGTCCTTTTTTTTGTTTTTTTAGTGGTGGTTCAATGGAAAGACCTGAACAGAGCAATTACTTTGAGAGAAGTGGATGTCTGGAAATAACTTAGCATTTATCCCATTCAGGTGGTTTATAATCATTTGGAGTAAAATTAGTATAAATTTAGTGTTCTTACATTCTTTTTGCTCTCAATTGCAATTTTAGGGATCAAAGGAAGCAGTTCCAGATACTTGTGGAGAACAAGTTTTATGAGTGGCTGATTAATACAGGACATCGCCAACAGCTGGACAGCCTGGTGCCCCCTGCAGTGGGCTCCAAGCAAGCAGCAGGATAAGCTCCTATATCAAATCACTGGTCGGCATTTAAATTATTTGGGGAAATGCTTACAGACATACAAAAACCTACAGAATGTTGTTACTGACCATTGCTGAATTTTTCACTGCTCCTTTACATGCCCACAGTGGTAAGAAGCCCCACCAAAATATTCAGGTGGAGCCCATAGAATTATGGGCAAGTATAATGACCAAGTTGTATCTTTTTTGCTTCTTGCCTGACATAAGTTGCACTGTGCAGATATACTACTTTCCCAATATATAGCTTTAAGTTTTATCCCTCCTTTCTAATACACCTTGCCTGTTTCCCTCACCACACACAAAACCTATTAATTGCACCTACAGACATTAATAAATTACAAGAATTCATTCAAATAAAGAATTGAATAATGAACTCTAAAAGATCACAGATTCAATAGAAGAGACTATGGATACAGACAGATAAGCTAGAAATTAGTTAATCCAAATATATAGTATATTTAAAGGAAAGTTTATTTTGCTATTTCAAAGTATTTTTTAAAACCAAAAATGGGAGGACAGGCAAAGACCATGGTAGGTAGTTCATAAGAAAGTACATATAAGCACAAAGATACTTTACTCTTCTCTCCTTTGTCATAGATTGAGTATCCTTCTTCGCGGGGGTTGATTTGTGGGCTCTCAATTCTAGCCCATTGGTCTCTGTCTAGTTTTATCCCAATACTACTTTGTTTTGATTACAGTCGCTTTGCAGTCTGGGAGTGTGATACCACCATTCTTTTTTGTCAGCATTGGTTTGGCTATCTAGACTATTGTGGTTCCATACAAATTTCAGTAATATTTGTTCGTTTCTTTGTATTGAATCTGCATATTGCTTTGGGTAAGATGGCCATTTGTTAATTCTTCCAATCTGTGAGCAAGAGATACCTATTTTTCTATGTCTTTTATTTCTTTTAACAACATCTTACAGTTTTTATTGTACAGGTCTTTAATCCTCTTTTGTTAAGGTTATTCCTAGACATTTAGTTCTTTTTGGTGTGATTTTAAATGGGATTGTCTTCTTTCTCTTCTAGTTAACTGTTGCATTTAAAAATGCAACCTATTTTTATATATTGATTTTTGTAACCTGACACTTTACTAATTGTTTCTGATTTTTTTAATGGTCTTTAGGGTTTTCTCTGTGTATTATTACATCGTCTGCAGAGTATGATAGTTTTATTTATCCTTTCCCAATTTGGATTTCATTTTGCCTTCCTATTACCTAATTGCTAATTAGGATTTCTAATATTATATTGAGTAGCGCTGATGAATGTGGACATCCTGCTTCAGACCAGCTCTTAGAGGAAAAGCATTCAGTTTTTCACCATTGGGTGTGATTTTAGCTGTGGGTTTGTCATATACGGCCTTAATTATGTTGAGTTGTATTCCTTACATTTTTTAAATCATAAATGTATGTTGACCCTGGGCAAAGATTTTCTCCATCTCTGTTGATGAGAACATACTGTGTTTATCTTTCCTTTTGTTGATCTGATAAAAGATACAGATCCATTTGCATATACTAAAGCATCTTTGCATCCTTAGACTAAATCAGAATTCATCTTTTGAAGGTGAAGCATTCAGCTGCTTCTATTATATTTGAAAGTTTGTGGAGCCTTCAGAACATTTTTACCACCCTAAAATAACCCCCATACACATTCCTAGTCATTTCTCGCTCCTCCAGCCTTCAATATCTTATCCCAGTGCCTGACAAATATTAATTTACTAACTTGATTTACTAAATCAAAAATTTTGGACTTTCATATAAATGGAATCCTGTAACATATGACTTTTGTGCCTGTTTCTTTCACTTAGCATTATGTTCATCCATGTAGCAAGTATTAGTATGTCATTCTTTTTTATGTCTGGATAATATTTCATTGTGTGGTTATACCACACATCTCTTTACACTTAATGAACATTTGAGTTGATTCCACTTTTAAGCTATTATGAATAATGCTGCTATGTATCTTTTTATACAAGTTTCTGTGTAGACATGTTTTTTATTTCCTTGAGCATATACCTAGGAGTAGGATTGCAAAGTAATAAGTTAACTTTTTGAAAAACTGCTGAACTTTTTTCCAAAATTTGGAAAAATTATTATTTATTATTTACGTTTTATGTTGCTTACATGTTTAAATTGTGTTTTGCTTTTTGTAGTATATCATTAATAAATGCTAAAATTAAGAATTGGAAATCAGATGATGATTATACATAAGACATAAAATAAGAGGGTAATATTTTAGTTTACACTAATCTTCATGTTCTTCAATGTTTTTGCATCCATGTATGTGCTTCCTTTTTTTTTTTAAATTATAAATTGTGACCCTGAAAAAAGGGAAGATAATTTAATTTAGACTATGTATTTACCATTTTTAACTATCTGATTTGATTCATGTGATTTTATAAATGAACAAATTTTTCATACTATTTGTATAAAGGCAGTAGAAAATTATTAATACTTTTCTTTTGTTGGCTTAGGGTCCTGGAAACCAGACGATGAAAGGAAGATAGCACACACCTAAAACTAAATTTGGAAGATGTTGCTACTTAAGAGACTTTGGGATTTGTCCTTTTTATTTTGAGACCTTTTTTTGACTTTAACTCCATACTAATTTATTACTATTTAGGTTTACTTTTAGCTAAACATTTGTCATGTAAACATGTTATTTATAGGCTATCAGAAGACTCATCTTTGTGATGCTAAATAGAGAAACTTGATGAAGGCAGTCTCTGTATATATGTTAATATTAAAGTGAATGTAGATTTACAAGTAAAGTTCATGTTTTAATTCATTTAAGAAGGTTTCATGCTTTCTAGAGTTTAAATAAGAGTTTTATAGTTCTTATAAGTATTTAAAAGGAAAAAGCTACTCCCTTAAAAATAGTTGAAAGAAAAGTATAATTCATTGGCATATAAATATAGAAGAAATACTTTTATACAAAGATATTTTAGACCTTAAAGTCTGAAACAATGAAATTGTATAAGATATTTAACTTTTATTTTGTTTCATATTTTCAATAAATAAATTTTTCAAATGTAATTTTTTCCTTTTAATAAAAATAAAGGTTTACTTTTAAAAGTCTTCCAGTGTCAGTCTGAAATTCTATCAATATAAAGTTTATATTTCATTGGGAAAGCTATGTTATTCAAGATAAAGGAAAATAATTATCAAATTATTAAAAATGAGTCTGATTATTGATAAATGTTCTTTCATATGCTCACTATTTAGTTAGTAATTATATCAAAAAAAGATTCCACCTAAAGTGAAATCCCTCAGAATGTGTGTAAATTTTAATTGAAGTTTTTGTTTCAAGACGAAATTCAAGAAAGTAGAAAATGAAGGAACTCTGGAGTAATTAAGTCAAGAGTAAATTGGAAATTGCAATTGGTTGACAAAATTAAGGGTATTAATCATACTTTTTGAAATCTGGCAAAATTCAGAAAACTAAGCATTAACATACTACTTTTATTTCTTAGAGTCTTAATAGCAAGGTACATTTGACATTCTCTGAAATGACCATAATCTATCTTGGGAGCATTTTAACTATAAAAATATTTGTTGGATAGCTGTATTAGTGGAAAGATGAGGAAACTGGATTTTTGACAAGATGCATGGTCAGAAAAATTAAAATGGATATAATAGGTTTGTGATTTATTTGAGTTTATAATCGCATTCCTAAAGCCACAGGTGTCTTTTTTTTGTTTTGTTTTGTTTTTTTAAGATTTATTTATTTGTACATACAGAACTGAGGTACAGTCCAGAGACTCGGGGGTGGCGAAAGACTTCACCAGAGATAGAGCGGGGAGCAGAACAGGCAGATCGACGAAGTACACTGCTGAGAGGAGCAGCGGGCGGGTCAGGAGAGGTCTGCGGCGCCATGTGGTCACCTCCAGGGCAGGCGGGAATTGAACTCATACAGAAGTGGTTTCAGCTTCTTAGTGCAGTGATTTAACCCGCTGCGCCACCAGGGAGGGCCAAGCCACAGGTGTTTTAATACCAAATATTGTTCTGTAAAGAGACTCCAATATGATACCATGTCAGAAAAATGCTACCTCATGGGTGGCAATTTGGGCTTAGTTAACTCTGCAAATTTAGGACTCCCACAGTAGCTTCTTTAGAATGTCTCAGGCTACATTCTACAGCTACATTCTGATCTTGTGGTTCAGAATTCATGTGTGTTTTTTTGGGAAAATTTCAAACAGTTGTAAGAACCAGAATTACTACTTTGTTTAGATTCACTAACTGTGAGTGATTTCCACTTAATACTATGTAATAGTATTTTTGCTCAACAATTTCAGTTTATTGTAGTTTTCTTGAATCTTTTCTCCTAAATTTTCACATGTATTTCCTTAAAAAAAAAAAGATGTTCTTTTATACAGTTATAGTAGAAACATATAAACTCAGGACATATAATGATGGTATAATAATATTATCCAGCACCCGTCCATGTTAAAATTTTTGCTAATTGTTCCCAACAATGTCCTTCATTAGGATTCTTTTCCAACACAAGATCTGTTTATGAGTTCTCTTGCTTTGAAACATGTCACTTTTAAAAAATAGAGGGTGCTCTTTTGACTCCTCTCTGCAAACTTTGTTAAAAAGAAGTCAAGTTGCCTCTCGTCAAAAAGCCAAACTGGCCAGGTAAAAGGGAGGTTTTTTGTTTTTAACTTTGAAAGCTGACTGTATTTTGGTCAGCAAAGTCTATTATAGCAAGGCTTGGTAAGCATTAAAGGGGGAACTGAAGCTTTTATTTCATAATCCCATTTTTTTTTTTTTTTTTTTTTGTAGAAACCAACAGCCTCTAAATCACTGACTCAACTTTTGGAACCTACTCCATGAAAAAGCAAATGTTTGATTTGAGACTAGTTCAGTATAAATATCTCTGTGCCTAACTCTGTAGCCATTCCTGGGTTTCAGCACTAGGGAAACCAATCTATGCACAAAAAATGTCTAAACCTGGTTTTGGCCCACCCAGTTTGTTTCACCTAATGAAACATGGAGAACAGTATTCACTTATTTGTCTGAAGGTGAGTATGAGAGTGGTTAGAAGCTTAGAATGAGGAGAGAAGATTAAAACATGCTTGTTAGATTTTTCTACTCTATTAGAATTACCAGTTTGTTGAGGGTTTTTCTTCCAGTATGATGCTGTGTTGAATTCTATGCAGGTACCTAAAGTGTAAATAACTGCTGCTGTGGTTTTTGCCTTCTGGCAACTGATATTCTATTAATTTCCACAGGAAAGTGACTTGCAGTGAAAAGGATTAAGTGGTGCAGAAAGCACTTCATACTCAATTTAAAACTGTTTTTTGATACTTAGCCTCAACCATTTATATTCTAAGAAGTCGCAGTGAATGGACCAATCAAAGTGAAACTGAATTCCACATGTCCCCTACATTCAAGCAATTACCTTTACTCTTACTTTTCCCCAAATAACTTTTGCTTAAATTAGGAAAATTTTCTCATTTGATTTGAGCGATCAATATCTGGTCCAACAGTTATGAATCAAATGAACAGTGGAAGCAAAGCCATTGGTACCTGACTTTTCCCCCTAATGTTTTATATTGAAAATTTTCAAACCCAGCACCCTTAAGGAACATGAATAATTCTCCAGTTGTTAACATTTCGTCATATTTGGTCTCTGTCTTGCACTCACCTTCTGCTAAATCATCTGAAATTTATAGCAGATGTAAGCATTTAACAAGTATCATTTTAAGAGAACAGCATTCACCTGTATATATCAGTAGCTCTGCAAAACTTGCTTCCTGGCTCACTTTCTCCTAAAGTAGGACACACCCAAACGTGTTGGATTTGGTCATCATGTTTCTTCAGCCTCTTTATTTTTTTTCGCCATTGTTTTAAAACATAACAGTCTCCCTTCCCGCTTTGAGACATTGGCCTGTTTCAAAGCCCACACGGGCACCCTAGACACTCCTGAAACCGGGGCTTGACAGATTGTTTTCTTTAAATCTATTTAGAGTCAGATTGCCCACATTTAGCAAGAAGCTGCACTGGCAGCCTTGAGTTCTTCCACTGCATCAATGCCGGAGGCACCTGCTAACTTGCTCCTAATTGGCTAGTGCCTAATTTTTCTTTTTTCCAATCTGGCAAATAGAACTAATAATCATACTCATCACTCAGAAGGTTTGGGGGGGGGGCGGCAAGGTGGCAGACAAGATGGCATCTCTAACCCTCTGAGGTTTTTGAACATGTACCATGCAAGTCCACAAAAGAATGTGGTCTGAGGAGCATGCATGTGTCCTGTTTTCAAAGACCGCCAGAGTAGTAGTAATGTACTTTTATTACTTGTAGTTGGGTTGTTCACTTAATTAAGTGTCGTTTGCTGACTAGGCCAAAGGAGATAATAACTTATTCTCTTATTCATTGCTTCTCCCTGTTCCACTGTCTTGGTAGTAGTTTAATAGAGGCGTTAATGGACTTAGCAAGAGCCTTACATTTATTGAGGTTTGTTATGTGTGTGTGTGTGGTTTTTTTTTGTTTTTTTTTTTTTTTGGCACTCTGGAGTAGACAGTTTTCTTTTTGCTCTATGGCATTAACAGGCTATTTTTCTAAAATCTGACAATGAGAAGAATTTTGAAATAATTTCTAGGAAATTTTGTAATATTTTTACCACATTTTTAGTTTTCTCTACAGAATGTTTTTCCCAAGCGTCCAAAACTTCTCAACTGACCATAAAGGGGACTTCACAGTCCTTCTACAAATGGGTAATGAGATTTGGAAGTTCTCCCCATTGGCAGTAGAGTTTTGTGGTGGTGCTCAGTAATAGTTGCAAGGCAACACTAGTGCTTTGCTTTAATCTTGGGATGCTGCCTGGTCTACAGGGAGCGTGGTGCAAGGTGGCCTTATAGAACACCCTTCTCCACTGCTCAGACACCCGTGTTGGGTAAACATGCTGAGGAGAATACATATGAGAAACAATGAAGTAAAACAACTTCCTGCAGCACATCCCTTTTGGGTGAATAATTGGCCACAGGTAAATTGCATTGACAATCTATCCATTCTGAGAGTCGCCTTGATTTTCCTAAAGGTCTTGCCACTGGTTTTAGGGAAAACTTCAGGTCCAGATCAGTTCGATTTCTGTTTCTGATTCAGTACTTGCTGCTTGTTGACCAGAGTCAGCTATGCAGGTGGGAAGACAGCAAAGGGAGGCATGGTAAAATGAGATGAACCAAAGGTTATTAACCAGGAGTTTTGCACTGAAATCCACTGGCCTGCCCACACCTAACTCACAATTAGCTAGTGACCTTAGGTAAATTGTTTCACTTCTTTATCTGCGACAACTGTAGCAAACGTCTATTGACAAATTTTGAGCCAGTTATTAAACTAAATCCATTATATTACCCCACTGAATCTCAGCATAATCCTCTGCAGTGGAAGTTGTTATCCAATGTTATGAGTGAAGAAACAGCGTGTAGAAAAGCACAATGGCTTATTCCAGTCACAGCTAGTGGCTAATGGAGCTGTGATTCTGTTTGCCTCATCTGTAAAAGAAGGTAGTAAGTACATCTGCGCTGTGCAAAAATGAAAAGGCATCCAGAAGAGATAAATGGGGAAGGGAAGAAAGAAGATGAAGTAAATCATTTGAGGCCGGGAGGGAAGCTTTTAGCAAACAGGGAATACGAAAGTTGAGAGAAATGGGAAGGAACAAGATTAAAATGGGAGGAACCCATTAGTATTACCGTGGGGAGAATCACTTAAGTTAGAAAGGAATCAGGTTTTATGCATATTTGCATAAAATTCTTGGTTTTCCCCTCTCATTTCCTGCATCCCATTTAGTCACCAAATCCTGTATTTCTTGCACATTCTGTGACTGTCCTCATCTCCCACCTCACCCACAGCAGCCAGCTGCATCCAGGCACAAACCACTACGTTTCAAGTCCCAAATGAGATGAAACCAAAGCCATTCTAACATGGCTGCAAGTCATTTTCCAGGCTTGCTTTCTTAATTGTTAACCTCATAGTCAATGTGCGCCAAGACTAATGAACTACTTGTCTCTGTAATGAGTGATGCTCTTTTACTCCTCTGTTTTGGCCTTTTTCTTTGCCTCTGAAAAATCATGGCTTATCCTTCAATCCTCCGATCGAAGATCCTCAGTTCCTTTGGAGATCGGCGGGTTCCGAGCCTTTTCACTGAAATGGCTGACATGATTTTCGCATTTTAGGTCCGTAACACAAATAACCACGAGGTGGCAGCATAACACCAGAGAACTAACTATCGGACTGCACGATACCTGTAATTTCAGTTTAAATTGTAATCTACCTTGGATTGGGGAAGGGATAAATTCTGCATTCCATTTGGTCTGGTTGTTTTAAGAAACTGCCTCATGAATCCCTAGGAGTTCCTGAATGCTATTTCCTGAGAATCCTGTCTCCCATTTCAAACAGAAAAATTGGGTTTATTTTACAACCAGGGTTTCCAATCTTATCTAGTGCTTTCATTTGACAGTGGGATGCTGGAGTCCAGAGACATGGCTTGTCTAAAGAAGGAGGACAGATTGCAGAGATGTGGTTCTAGAGTCCAGATGTGGGCTGCACATTTTCTAGCACCATCAGAGATTTACTCCAAAGGTGGTGGTAGAAACTTGGTAAGAATTTGAAGCAAAGTGCTTTCTTGCCATGTCATTTGCTACTTTGCCACCACTCTGTTGACACTAAGACAATCCAGAGCCTAATATATATGTTCATGTGTATATGCTCTGCTTTCATTTAAAGTAAGCTTTCTAGGTCCTCCCTGGTGGCACAACAGGTTAAAGCTCAGCCCTATAAGCCAGCCACAGCCCCTTCAGCACGAGTTCGATCCCCCACCAGGGAGGTGACCCACATAGCACAGCAGACCTCTCCTGACCCGCCCGCTGCTCCCCTCAGCAGTGCACTTCGTCCATCTGCCTGTTCTGCTCCCCACTCTGTCTCTGGTGAATCCTCTTACTGCCCCCACACCTCTGGCCTATACCCCAGTTCTGTAAGCATAAACAAATACATTTAAAAAAAATAAATAAATAAAATAAGATTTCTAAAGCTGAGGACTGTTTTATTTTTCTCCATACATCTTCCACATCATCTACCATGAATTTCTTCAGGTGGACTTTACTTACCTTCATCAGTCACTGGTAGCAGCTTTTTCGAATCTGAGCACAGGGTTGCCTTAAGTAAGACTTCATCCTTGTAGCTGGAAGAAGTCTAGTAGTAAGGAGCCTGCTTGGCGAGATGGCCATGTAGTGGATAATTTATAATGTGATAAGTACAGTGAGCTGTAGGAGCAAGGAAATGAGTCTGAAAACTGCTGGCTTAAGTACTCTTGTTCTGCTTCATTTTAAGTTTTCAGAAAATACTCATCCTGTTAACAGCAAAAGCTGGGAAGGTGAGTGTTGTGAGGTGAGACGGAGTAAATAACTTCCCTTCAAAACTGAGGAAAGGGGAGATTAGTAAGGTAGATAACATGATCTTAATTTCTATCTTATCTATGAATAAATTCTTCCAACTCTTCAATTTCTTTGCCCAATAATTTAGATTACTTTCTAGGAAGACAAAAGTTTCCAAGGCTGTCACTATGACTGTGACCGTGGCTGCAGATTTCCACATGTCCCTGGATCACTGCAACTCCATTAGAGTGGACGGTGGCTCCTTGGGGATGTATGAAAGGCCGAGCTTTGCTGGGTTGTGCATCCTATCTCAGGGCGAATCCTCTGAGCACCAACACTGGAAAGGCCTCTGACCTCCTGGCCTTGCAGAGCTACTTACAGATGGGGGGTGGAGGTTGGGGGTGGGGGGTGTACTCTCATCCTCTTCCCTCTTTCCAAAGTGCTTTATTTCTTGAATATTTTAAGGAATTAAAATTTTCCTATTAAAATTCAGCTTTTTATGAAGCTGAGATCATCTGACTTTCAAGATGGTGGTTTGTGGTCCATCCTATCCTCTGAGTTCTTGATCTGCTGATTTTCTGTTACGGTTGCTGTTTATTTCCTCCTGTGTTTTTCAGTCTAGTGGAGGGAAGTAAAAGACTCAGATCTTTGAGAAAGGGGTCAGATGAATGAAACCAGTGAAGATTGCCCTTCGACCTTGGTCTATTCTTGTAAGGTGCTGGATGGTGTCTGGATAATTTTTTTAAAAGATTTATTTATTTATGCATACAGAACTACCAGAGGTGCAGGGGTGGTGAGAGGGTCACCAGAGACAGAGAAGGGAGCAGAATAGGCAGATCAATGAAGTACACTGCTGAGGGGAGCAGCGGACGGGTCAGGAGAGGTCTGCTGTGCCATGTGGGTCACCTCGGGGGCGGGATTGAACTCATGTGGAAGTGGCTTTAGCTTCTCAGTGCAGTGCTTTAACCCGCTGTGCCACCAGGGAGGGCCCTCCTTAAGCACTTCTAGAGTATAGTCAAGAAGTACCCACCACACTCGGCAGTGACACCAACCTATTCACTCCCTCAGATTACCATTATGTTTCTTTGTGCCAGACATAATGTTTCAAAAATCTCATTGCCATAAAGTGGTTCTTGTTGCTTAAGTTTTGTATTGATTCAACCAGTACAATAATAATAGCTGCCATTTACTGAGAGCCTTCATCATCCCATCTTGTGTTTATAACAAGCTGGTAGGAAAGGTGGTTTATCTACATTTAAAATAAGGAAATGGGCATAGGAAAAAAAAAAAAAAAACATGTCCAAGCTCACCAGCTGGTGAATGGAGGAATGAGGATTTGATCTGGGATACTTTTGTGTCCACAGCATTTCTTTTCCCTTCATCTGCAACTCAATTCACTCAACACATATTGGTGGGGGATCTGTGTGCACAATGAAAGTGCAAGACATAGAGAAATTCACAAGGTGGAAAGGCCAATAGATCCTGAAGGTCTGATTGAAGAGACAGAATACCTGGCAAGCGAAGATGAGTGGAAACAGGACTAGTGAAAACAGTAGAGCCAGAAGCCACCCAAAGTGCCTTGTTCAAGATCCAGGGAATCCTGTGTTAGTTACTTCTCCACCCTTAAATTCAGTTTTTATTTTAAAAAGGACATAGTCAACAATTTGCCCCTACATTACATAGTTGAAATGGAATTTTCCTTACTTTGAGTAACCCCAGAGGTTTTTTCTGTATGATCATGATGAAAAACAACATCCTTTAGAAAACTGAGTGAGCAGCCAAGTGAGCCTGGGGGACATGCTGGCTGCACTCTTTAAAAGAGATGGTGATGGGCTCTCCCTGGTGGTGCAATGGGTTAAAGCACTATACTATGAAGCTCTCCTAAGCCACTGCAGCACTAGTTCGATCCCCGGCTAGGGAGCTGACCCACACGGGGAGGCAGATCTCTCCTGGTCTGCCCGCTGCTCCCCTCAGCAGTGTATTTCAGTCAGTATGCCTGTTCTGCTCCCCACTCTGTCTCTGGTGAATCCTCTCACCCTCCACACCTCTAGCCTATACCCCAGTTCTGTAAGCATAAATAAATAAATCTTTAAAAAAAAAAAAGAGAGAGAGAGAGAGAGGTGGTGAACTCCTATGTTTATTGCAGCACTATTTATAATAGCTGACAACCTAAGTGCCCAAGTAGAGATGAGCAGATTAGGAATTTGTGGTGTATATACACAATGGAATACTACTCAGCTATTTAAGAAAATGAACTGTTGCTATTTGCAATATGGATGGAACTGGAGAGGATTATGCTAAGTGAAATAAGTCAGAAGGAAAAAGACAAATATTGGATGACTCTACTCATCTGTAGAGCATGGAGAAACAAAACTAGGAACAGGCAAAATCTGTGAATCTGTGGAAGTGGGGCTTCTGGAGAGGGAGAGTGGGACTGGGGAGCGATGTGGGGAGCACATCCAATAGACAGGTGAGGATAATGGGTGCTTTTGGGGAAGGTATGGTGACATACATATAAAGAGGTGTGAACCTGGATCTCTAAATCATCTATAAGGTTGTAAACCAATGCTACTCAATTAAAAAATAAAAGAGATGACAAAGCCCATAATACCTAGGAAATCTTCCCAAGTAGACAGCCCAGAGTTGCTATGGATATGCTCTGCGTATACTGTCCTCTATACATTTTCTACCTCAAATAGTTTTATGTATTTTGTTAATTTCCCCCAGGTTTGCCATTTGCTGTTTCAAGTGAGGGACTCTGAGAAAACTGAGCAAATTGGGGAGTGTTGACCATAAACCTGGGAGAAGGAATGGGAGGCCATTTGCTGATCTCAAGAAATTCTAGTCCTTGCTATCATACGATGAAACTTCTCTCACCTCTAAAATGAGGGAGTGGGACCCTCTTTTGCTAGCTCACACATGCTCAAACATGAGCACTCTACATCACACAAGTTCAGAGAAGGATGATAAATAACTATCTGATCACAAGACACCACTGACACGCATTTTTAGAGGCACAATTTCTAGAAGTGATCTCAGGTACCCTACTCCACCTTTTCTGCTGAGGAAACCCCGGCAGTGGCGACAGTGAGTTCGAGTTGGCCTCTTCTCACATCAAATGCTGCCGCGTTCCAGTCCTTGGTGAGTGTCACAGTCTGTTCAAAACAAGCAGAGAAGCAATTCTGGCAACAGAATAGAGAAACAAATGTCAGGGTGACTAACCACAGTCTCAGAGAAGTAGAAGATGGCTTTTGAGAAATAAAGCAGGATTATCATTTGGGAATGTTATATGCCTACTAGTTCATGCCCTATTTCACAGCGAGATTACCACCATTCTCCTCAGTCACAGGCTCATCCGTTATTTAATCAATAGTGGCTAACGAAATTTTACTAGCAATTGATATTAGAGGTCAAAAACACTATTCCCTTATCACTCTATCAATCCCAGTTCTGGTGGAACATTCTTCTATGCAAGCATAACAGAATAGCACCATGAGTGTTTTTTCAAGGTATTTCCCTCAATATTTTATGGTCTTATCACTCTGACATGGGGTTTCAAGGAGTTAAGCTAAGGTCCCATTTTGACACATTTATCCCTGTTTCCAAAATTCTGAGCATTCCACTGAATCTTTCCCAACTATGGATTCTACTTCTTCAAAATATAACATCAGGATCTCAAGTATAAAGCCTGTAGGGTAGGGTGCCAGATTAGATATAGAGCAATATTAGAAAGCCCCAAGCATAAATAAGGGACAGAATATAAATTTATCCCAAGCATTGTACAGGTCCTACTTCTAAGAATGCTAAGAAATCATTTGTCATTTGTCTGAAATGTAACTGTATCCTATATTTTTAGTTACTAAATCTGTCAACTCTACTTGGAGGGCAACCCATGAATGTGGGGTAAAAGGGAGCTGAGAGGCTGTGGACACAGTAGCACACCCCAGAGTGGGCATTTAAGTACAGGGTTTAAACAGACATTGCAAGTGAACAAAATGTGTCTGCAGCTTGATTCGGCCTGTGGACTATCTCTTTCCAACCTGGGTTTTTTGGAGAGTTCTGGAACTCTATTATAAAGTGTTCCCTACATTGCGTCTGAATTTACTCCCTGTAACTTTTAATTTAAGCTAGATCTGCATTCCATACAGTTATCCTGCAGATAGCTCTTCAGAGACATAAGGGGCCCTCGAGTTAGTCTCCAGGCTGTCCTCAAAGCAGAACCATTCCCATTTCTTCCATTGTTCCTCTTTTGATAAGGTTGGCGCATAGAATCTTCCATTCTGGTGCCTCTCCTCCGTGTTGACTATAGAGTGTCTCTTCCCACCTGTCTCAACTGGAGTCTGAGCAGTGCAGACCACACCTGGGTGTTAAGTCCATTCAAGTGTTTAACCTTCCTTTCTCTGCTGTGTTGTTGGCTGAGCTCAGCCCTCCAAGTGCTTCCAGCATTCGTGGAAGGACTCAGCAACATCTCCTCAGAACTGGCACTTTAGTTCAAAGGTTAGAGCATGTCCTTCCCCTCCGGGGCCTGAGGAAGAAATGGACTCAAAGCCTGCCACTTCCATGTTAATCTCAGTCACAAGCTACTACGCGTAACCTCAACTTCTTTATTTGCAAGGCAAAAGCTAGCACTTTGTGGGGATTAAATGAGCTCATGTACAAAAAGCACTACAGGTGCATTTGGGCTTCGTTCCTGGCTATAATCAGAGTCTATGAGTGTGAAGCTGACTCAGAAATGCTAAACCAGAGCGCCGAGAGCAAGTCGGGGTTGGCTGCTGTGAGCCGCCCATCACCACATTCTTGTCAGCTGATCAACAAGAACTTTTTACAAATGTATGTTTCTGTTTAAAGCCATCTTATTTAATATATATTGTTGACTCATTAACATCAAACTCATGGCCAACTGTGTCTGTAAGATCCATCAGTCCCTGGCACTTATGAACACCAGACAGCATCTCAGCACTGCTTTGGGGATCATTTTATATAGTGAAATCAGCAGCCCAAAGCAAAGCAATGCAAAGACATAGCACCAAGCGGCCTACAGAGAGGGCGCATGTTTCCTCATGAGCGCTCACAGGGGAAGGCTGAGCTCCATCTGACGTGGCGGGGAACAGGCGTATAGGAGAAGTCACATTTCACTGCCTTCACATGTGCAAGAATGACCTAGAAAGCACAGGAAGCAGTGATTTGAGGATTACAAATAAATTTTAGTGAATCACAGATTTGCAAATGCAGAATCTGCAAATGATGAAGATCAATTGTATTTTACCCCATGTGGTTAGCATGTGAGAGCCATTTCTCAGCATTTGTGCTGCTGTCACCAAGATGTTTGGTTTTATTTTTACTTGTTTAATTTTTTTATACCTCTTTCTATCCCCCAGTTGTTTTCAGAAGAGCATTTCTGCATTTTTGGCAGAAGCTTCATAGTTTGGAAGAAACACAGCAGAATCATCCAACCCATCCCACTGCCTTGAAAAGAGCCACATTTTTATAGAAGCTTGGCCTTCCCTTCTTTCTCAAATATGCCTAATGCTGGCTCTCGATCCCACTCAATTCCAAGATCCGCGGGGCAGACCCTAGAGTTCACTCCAACCCTTCTTGCTTTCTGACCTTCATTTGGCTTGGTCTCTCTTATTTGAGGTCTCTCAAGGGACTTAGGGAAGTGAATCCCCAAGCTCTCCTTCCAGTCCTTAGGCCAACAGACATAGTACCC